CCCAGACAAGCCATATTCATCTCTGAAACACATGGCTACAACCTATCCTATAGTCGTGGATTCGCTCAGGGACTCGCTTCATACATGGATCACTGCTTTTCCGAGAACCATGCAAGGTAATGACGAGACAGCGAAGCAGTGGGCATTCAAACAGATTTCGACTGCATTTCAGATACTGTCCGAAATCCAATCAAGCTCTGATATTCTCACAACCAATCTGGCCTCGGGATTGTGTGACAGTGTTGCCGCCAGCATAATTCATGCAAATAAATCGCTCGGGATGTTGAGTCCCACAAGAGACATACAATCAATGGACATCATCCACCAGGGAAGTCACTCGTTGTCATTCGCACCGGTGCTTTTCGAACATCGAAGCCAGCAGCACACTCTCAAGGATCTCCAGGCGATGGTTTCCCGGCTTAGTGGGTTCGATTCCGGCGACGAAATCACGCGGTTTATCATCAACCGGGTACACAATGAGCCAGGCGACTCCAAGATCGCACCGTTTTGGCTAGCATTGACTTTCCTCAGAGCCGATGCCCATGGTTCGGCTTTTTTCGACGAACTCATATCCTCCGACCTACTCGAGTCTTCTACAAACTCTACCAGGACTAGCATGATTGAAGAGTTATATTATGCTTCCCTACCGATCTTGAATGAGCAACTATCTGACGATCCAAGAGACTGGCGTATTTCCGCACTAGCATTGGAGGCTGTTGCTCTCCAAGCGCAACAGCTCGGAGAGGCATTCCGTCCAGAGCTCATGGACGCCTTATATCCTGTTCTCCAGTTGCTTTCCTCTGGTAATCCATACCTTCAGCAGCATGCGATGACATGTCTCAACCTCCTCACCACGTCATGCAAGTACGACAGCACCAGTAGCATGATCATAGAGAATGTTGACTATCTTATCAACGCGGTTGGGTTGAAGTTGAACATGTTCGATGTTTCACCCTTTCCACCTCAGGTTCTGTTTATGATGGTGAAACTGTGCGGTGCTCGACTAATCCCGTACCTGGACGACCTGGTAGACTCGATATTCGGTGTGTTGGATATGTACCACGGGTACCCAAAACTCGTTGAGACAATGTTCAAGACATTGGCTGCTATAGTCGAAGAGGGCACCAAGCAGCCATCACTCCTAGCCATCGAAAACGGCAGAGAGGGCCCTATAAACCACCGCAAGAGACAGTACCAAGGGTTCCAGGTGTCAACGCTTGCTGAAGACCTGACAAAGCAAAGGATGAAACGTACCAAACACGCGCAGGAAGCCCTAGAACAAGACGAAAAGCTTTCCCACCCCAAGCGTCCTTGGACTGCAGAGCCTAAAGAAGACAAAAAATCCAACTTCGACACTGTCTTCCAAGAGACCCAAGCGGCCCCTGAAACCGGAGAATCAAACGAGCAGCTACCCCCACCTCGTGAGCCCGACGACAGCGAGAAGCCATTAAGCAAATCGCACTCGCTATTGCTGCATATCGTCAAATCTATACCCGTGCACCTATCCTCGCCATCCCCCTACCTCCGGCGCTCCCTGCTCTCCATACTCATCCAAGCCATCCCCGTTCTCGCCCAACACGAGAACAGTCTTCTACCGCTCATCAACGACCTCTGGCCACCCGTAGCAGCAAGAATCACATTCCCTGCCTCGCTAAACACCACCCCGTCGTCGTCATCATCATCAACAGCCCTCCTAACCAGCGACACCTCCAATAACCCAAACGACACAAAAGCCAGCCCCGAACCCGACCTCCAAGAAGAAACCTTCGTCACAACAGCAGCCTGCACAGCCATCCAAAGCATGTGCCAAAACGCAGGCGACTTCATGGCCACGCGCGTCGAAGCCGAGTTCCCCCGCTGGGCCCGCCTCTACCGTCGAGCCTGGGACAGAGTCCGCTCCGACGCAGATAAAGCCATCGAGCGGCGCGCGAGACAGTCCTCCTCCTCCCCTTTCTCGCCGTCATCACAGTCACCCATCACACCCCTCGACACCAACGACTCGTCGACTTCACAATCTCTCATCCCATCCCTCTCCCTAACAACAGCAGGCACCCGCTCATTCACCCCCCACCACACCCTCTGGCGCGCCCTCATCACCCTCTTCACGACACTGCTCACACACGTCCGTCTGCCGCTCGCTATAGGCGACGAGATCTGCGAGTTCATCGGCGCGTGGGTCGTGCGGTTCGCGGGGCCGGACGCTCCCTTACAAACAAGTGCTCACCCGCAGGAAAGCAAAGACCGTGCTGAGCTCGACACCATCCGCGACGCTATCGTTGCGATGGAGACGTGGAATGCGGATTTGGCGTGGTTTGTCTTGGAGAGGCAGAGGGGTGAGGTGAGGCGGTTGATGGCTGGGAAGAATAGTAACATTAATGCTAAGACTGCGATGTCTGGTGCTGGGGGTGGTATTGCGCGTTCGGGCGTTCCTAAGATTAGGGAGATTGAGGAAGAGCCGCAGAGAGAGTGGGTTTTTTCGAAGGGGGTGATGAGGTTTGCGAGGCCTGTTTTTTAGATGATAGCATTGTGTGGGGGTTTTTTTTAGATGACTATGTTTATATGTTTGGGTTATTATTTCGACGATAGGGTCTCGTTGAATGATTACGCTACAAGATACAAGAGGATGGAATATCGGTGACAAGATCAACAACTGTGTTTCATGTTGTATAATATAAGTTCAAAAGCATTCTCAGTTACACTTCAAACGAGTGGAGATTAGTTGGAACAGCAGATCAACAGTAGCGAGAAACAAAGACACTCGATCGGACGAGACAGAACCGAAAGACCGATGAGCAACAGCCTACTCATCGTCACTGTCCTCCTCCTCGGCTTCGTCAAGCCACTGGAGGAAAGGTTCCGCAGTCTTGCGAACCTTCCGGCTGGTCGAGATGTCGACGTACTTCTTGCTGGCCTTGGCGCCCCAAGACTTGAGGGTCTCCTCCGAGACAATGTCGTTCTCGTAATACTGGAGCAAGATCTTCGGGAGCTGGGGAAGCATGTCCGGGTGGTCCTTGCCCACAAAGCGTTCGGTGCCACCCAGGAAGGCCTTGGCGTGGCGGTCGGAGGTGTTCATCTTCTTCAGAAGGGACGCGCGGTCAGGAATCTGCTTCACGATGTCCTTGTCGAAGATGGTCTGGGCGAGGACAGCCAAGGTCTTGTGCTTGGATTCGATGCCCAGTTCCTTGGCCTTGATGTAGATGTCGACATCCTGGACCTTGGAAACACCGCCCTTCTGGGCCGCAGTATCGAGGACCCAGCTGCCGAGCTCATCGTAGGCCGAGGGACCATCAGCTCCAGCGTCATCGTCGCCATCGTCGATGACGAGAGAGCGCTTCAGATCCGAGGGCAGGTCGCGAGCACGGGCCTTGATGGCTTCCTCCGACATATCGACAGCCCAGCTGTCGTTGTCGTCGTTCTCGGCTTCGATGGCCTTGGCTTCCGCCTTGATGCGGCGGGTGAGCTCGTCATCGCTGCCCGCCTCCAGCTCAACTTCACCATTCTCGCCGTCACCATTGTCCGAGTTGCTATCGCCGGGGCTGCCATCTTTGTCGCCATTCTCGGCGCCATTCTGCTTGGCTTTCTCACGACGAGCCTTCTTGGCCGCCTTGTCCTTCTTGCCCCCCTTGCCAGTAGTGCTGTTACGGAGGATGAAAGTACTCAGCTTCAGGCGAGGATCAACGTCGGTGCGCTGACCACAGGCCTTGCAGTCAAGGATGATCTTATCCTCCTTGATGATGACATCCGTTTCAGGATTCTTGCACTTCTTGCAGAGCACAAACCTGGAGATAAATCCATCCAGGTAGTCCTGGAGCTTGGGGGCATCGTGAGCGCCGTTGATGATCCAGCGATCATCGGTCGGCTTCGCGTTGGCCTGAGCACCCAGCTCGAAGCCAAAGTATTTGATGACATAGGAAGGCGGGCGGCTCAGAGACTGCGCGACCGAGTTCAGGTTGACAACGACAGTCTTGATACCGTTACCCTTGCCCTCAATCTTGGACTGGAGGCGCTCCATCTTGTAACGGTAGAAGGGATCGGTGACATCCCGACGAATGTTGACAGTAGCCATGATGACGGATAGGATCGGGTAGCTTTTCAGCAGAGAATGGATTTATTCAGAAGTGTAGCGGGAGGGATTTTCGGCCAAAAATGTCTTGAAAGAACAAGACATGCGTGACGAGTTTCTATGTTCGGCGAAATGGTGGCGGTTTGAATCGTCTCGATGGAGCGATTAACACGGCGGATATGGCAACAGCAGGGTTTCAGCCACAAGACTTGGGGTGTATACTGCAAGGTTTCGGCGCGATGCGAAACGTTTGCAGCTTGAGCGGCAGGTGATGTTCGAAATATCTGAAGCAGGACGAATACATAGACAAGTTCTCGATCGACTCTGCTCTAATGGCTTTCTCTGGCGAGGTAAAAGTGAGAAACCAAACTTGTGGTTCTTCTGTTAAGTGAGACATGTGGTCAGTATGCGAGTTCGTCGACGATACGATGGTGTGACCAGCAGCTGGACAGTGCCAAAGGGACCCATTCAATACTAACCAGAGCGGGTTTAAATCGTTCAAACCGAAAAAACTAAAGCCCAAAAGCCGTACAACAGCTTAACGGCAGGAATCCGAGAGTGAAAGCGAGTCAAATACCGATGGGATCCGTGAGGAAACGATGGGTGTGGAAAGAAGAGTAGATGAGAGAGAAGAGAGAGAAAGAGAAAATCGAGAGGGAAAGAAAGAAAGCACAACAAAAAAGGGATCAAGCCAAACGGTCTCACCGCCAAGACCCGCCGAGAAAAAAAAAATCGGAATTCCAGGCTGACTCAGCACGATGCCGGATTTCCGGGCGTTTCGGACATGACCGTTCCGAGACACGTGCCATGTCGGGCCTCAGGCAGTCGCCGATAGTCGTTGCCTTATTCTGCGCCTGTATTTCCAGGCAAACACTTCCCCGCACGCTCTTCTTCCCCGCCCGGCATCCTCCGCAATTCGATGTGACTTCTTCCATCTCAGCATCATTCTGCCTTTTCAATAACCATACGAGTTCTATTCACAATGGCGTCAGTTGCAAAAGCCTCCCGCATCCGTACGTTCTCTCCGATCTTGACTATCCACTGATAAATGCTAATACCGCCTCCAGGCAACCCTGCAGTATTGTACGTCTTGAATCATTCAAAACCGCCAATCCCTGCACAGCATCTTCACCCCCAGCAAATCGAACATAGAAGGAAAGAAAGACTGACAGACCCATTCACTTTGCAGCATCTGCGATATCCAAGAGAAATTTCGCCCAGCTATCTACGAATACCCCAAACTGTACACCTCCCTTATAGCCCCGCCACACAGACAACCAAGAAAACTAACACCACAAAACCTCCCCAGAATCGCAACAACAACCAAACTCCTCCGCGCGTCCAACGCCCTCTCCCTCCCCACCTACATCACCACCCAGAACCGCGCCCGGCTAGGCGACACTGTCTCCGAACTCCAACCGCACCTCTCAGCCCCCAATGTCAAAGCCAACGTCGACAAGACACTCTTCTCAATGATCACGCCCGAGATCGACGCCCTCCTCCCCAAGGCCCCGCAAACCGTCCTCGACGCCATCATCGTCGGCATCGAGTCGCACATCTGCGTCACGCAGACGACGCTGGATCTGCTCGCGCGCGGACACAGGGTGTATGTCCTTGCGGACGGCGTGAGCAGCTGTAATGCCGAGGAGAGGGTGGTTGCGTTTGCGCGTCTGCGGGACGCGGGCGCTATCGTGACGACTAGTGAGAGTATTTTGTTTGAGATTCTGGGAGATGCGGGTCATCCGCAGTTTAAGACTGTTAGTGGGCTCGTGAAGGAGACGAAGGAGGAGACTAGTGGGGCGTTGGAGGTTTTTGCGAAGATTTGAGTTCTGCTGCTTCAGTTACGGTCATTCTACTGCTTATGCGGGGTATAGCATGGAATGTTCGGCTGGGTATCTAGATGATATTATGTATTTTCCGTGCTCCCTCGTTCATATTACCGTGATGTCGTATACCTAGGTGCTGGTGTGGTGTTTCATGTCACTGTGGAGAAACTGCCAACCCGACCCTGTAAATAATGCACTACCATCGCACAATTATAGATATCAAGCAGCCCACCCACTACGACAGAGTATCTCTTGCGAAAACGGCTCTCTTCATCTAAGCTGCATACAAAACAAGGACAGCAATCCTACTACAAAACAGAAAGCGCTCCATTACAGATGGGAGAGATCGAGGCCCACCGTAACTACAGTCCCTAATATATTTCACTTAGGGTTCGTCACAGCCCGGCCGGAAGGCTGCGTCGAATTGAGCCACCCGAACGCGGAGGCCCCGCCAATGGGATTAGACGACCACTGCTTCCCCGTGCGACCTTCTTCCGGGGACGCCCGTGAGGACGCTGGCTGCGAAGCTGTGGAGAGTCCTACCGGTTCTGGGCCGGAGCCGGTGGGAGTGCTGGCTGCCGACTGCGAGGTGCGAGAGGAGGTCTTGGATGGCCGCAGCACTTTCATGGCGCGGCCCCGCGAGGGGCGACCGGAAGCGGAGGACGCGGGATCCGCTCTAGAATCACGTTTCCACGAGCCCCAGACTCCTGCTGGCTCCGCCTTGGCTGGACTGCTGAGCGGCATCTCGGCCGGCTTGGCTGCTTGAGGTTGTTGCTGTTGTTGCTGTGTCTGCTGCTGCTGCTGCTCTTGAGAAGGCTCACTCCTTGGCGGGTGTGGCGTTTCCAGCGAATGCGCCTGCTCACCGTCTTCGCGCTCCTCGAAAGAGACGCGACCTGAGGCGGAGGTAGACCGCGACTGTCGACTAGGGGGCTGTCCAATGACACCGGCGGCTGAATGACCGTTAACAGAAGGGTGATCCGTAGCCGGGAGTGCCTGCGCCGTTCGTCCAGCGCGCGACGAGCAGGACGAGGTGCCAAGAGATCGGAACACTGCATCATCCTCTGGCCGGACCAGAGGGATAGATACCTTATTCCTCTCGTCGTCCACCATGATGATCTTGTCTTGGGAGAACAAGATGTCCGCGTTGTGGGAGCGGAGGACGTCACTGCCGATGATGATCTGGATGGACGGATCGTTGGGGGTGACATCCTGAACCAGGAATCGGATGGTCAGGGTGGGAAGCTGTGGTGCCGGACTGCTGGGACGGGACGACGCCTGGTGAAGACTGGCTTCCGGCAGATAGACCGGGAGCTTGATGAAATGCGTCTCTTCCTCCTGAATGATCAGCTCCTCCAAGCCAAGCTTTCGAATCAGTGGGTATCCAAGAGTCGACGTATAGGCCCCCGAACATGCAGCCGCATATAGAAGTGATTCGTTGGAAAAGTTCGCCGTCAGCCAACACCGGATGATGCATGGAACCGGCCCCAAGAGGAAGAGCCCAGGCGGTGGGATGAGAGGTGACCCGCCGACCGAGGAACTAAGCAATCTGCTAGTCGTCTCCATCCCAAGGCTGTTGGTGCGAGCAGAGTGATGGGAATGTCCCGATGAGCTATGACGCCCATCTGAGCGATGGGACAACGAGGGTTCCGTCAGGGGGTGACCTCCCAGGCCGCTGCCGGTCCTTATCGGAAGCTCACTGCTCGACCGACTGGCCTGCCCGTAATATCCGTGAATGGCACTCTCATCGAAACGAACGCTGTTGGCCCTGGATGCCCCCCGCCTCGGCTCGTATTCCGTTTCCAAGCCCACGGTACTCACCGCACCACCGTGATGTTGTCCCTGGTCGAATCCTTTGAAGGCATCGGCGGGTGAATGAAAAGCGGGTTCTGCAGAAACACCGACAGATCAGTAACAATGTCATGGAGCAACCAACCTCCAAAAGACAGCAGACGCACCTGTAGGTATTGTTCCCGCGACCGAAGTCGGAAAGGGTGATAGAGGGCCCCAGACACTCTTCATCCTCGCATCTTCGTCCCTCCGCCGCTCCAACCGTGCAATGCGCTCCGCCTGTTCAAATTGTGTGGCGTGAAGCTCCTTAAGCTCGTCAAAGACGCGCCAAATATCGTCGCGTGAGGCAAAAGGATAGTGGGCGTCCATATCCGACCAAACGGGAGGAAGTGACACACAAGCTTGACCGGATGGCGAAACAAATGAATGTTCAAACAAGAGGGAAAACCTGCCTTGCTACCGGGATACCTAGCCACGAATACACACAGAGACACAGTCCTAATCTCAAGTGAGAGACACCTGCTTTCTTCCCACCGTCTTGTTCACTTCCTGATGGCCAACCCGTCGCCCACTGTGTCCTGAAGCTCCTCCTCCCGTGCTCTGTGAGACGGCCGTACGGCCGGCCGTCCACCCGATTCTCTAAAGGCAGATATCCGGTATATTTTTTGTAAACATATACGCCCAGAAGGGATGATACGGCACGGGGTTGACCGGGATATTGAGTCGACAAAGGAGGATGTAGCTGGGGGGCGGAAGGGATGGATTGAAGCAAGTAGCGTAGTAGTCGATTTGGCGGAACAAAGACCGGAGGTCGATGGTTTCAGCAAATGTAGCAGTCTGGCAAAATGACTACTTCTTTTTTGAGGTTTAGAAGAAGCTCTGACTGATGAAAGGTCGAGGTTCACTGATGAATGTAAATTTTTCGAATTACAGACTGAAAAAGCCTGGCGTGAGACAGTTGGAGAGGTGTCGGATCGGAGATTTTCGACAGCGGAGAATAGGAAACTTTGCCTTCACGGGACCAAAGCGGGGGAAATGGCGTAAATACGGGTCAAGGGAGTGATTGGTGTATGATAGGTAGCAGTTAATAGAGGGGAGGTTCGATTCAAAATAGTGATGGGAGGAAAGGACAAGATTTTCTTGCAGTTGGACAGGACGAAATGAGGGGATCCCAACTGGGGCCATCCATTTGGGTTGGCGCCGGGCTGGCCGGCCGAGCGATCTAGACCGCTTTCACTCATCCATGCAGATGCGATTCCGTTTCTACTCTACACCAACGCACCACTGGGGGCCATTCTTCATTGTGCAATTCTTACTATTGGCTTTGTTGTGTTTGTCATTTCAATTAATCAATATAAACCAAGTGGAATTCTCGGTTTCTCCGGGAACTAAGCCAGATCAAGCCTCTATTTAGGCGCCTCCATCCAGCCAGGGAAGACAAAGGGAAGACGCTCAGGGTCCTCGTCAGGCCAATTGCGTCGGATCGTTCCCATGATAACATCATATGTAATGCGATATCCATCCGGGGTCAGATGTAACCCTGTGGTGTTGTCAGTGTCTACTTAGTCCCAGAGATATTTGACTTGTAGAAACGTGGGTAAGGTCGAGCAAGGGGCCAAAGGGAGAACAAACCATCTGTGAACAGGCTGCTGAGCTTGTCATTGTTCGGAAGGTCTCTTGATCCTATCAGAGGCTCGCCCTCTTTCCATCCGGCAGCGGTCATGAACGCCGTCCAAAGATCCGCAACGGGGATCTTAAACGACGTGGCGACTTCGTGAGCTGCCTCGGCGTACTGTCTCGTAAAGCTATTGGTTCGGCTGGGAAACTCATTCCCTTTCTCGGAGTCGAAGATCTCCAGCTGATGCTCATTGATTGGGGTCGGAGTGCAGATGATCAATTTAGGTTGCTGAGCCAGGGTCGCGGGGTGTTGAATAATTTGTCTCAGATTCTCTTTGAAGACGTCCAGCGGGACGTGCTGGCTGTTTCCAGGATGACATGAATCGTTGGCTCCAAACCAAATAGTCTAGAAGACAATGGATTAAAGTCTCGTTCGCATTGTTTGATCATTCAAGGATATACCATTAATCGAACATCTTCTCTCTCCGGCGTCGGGAAGAATTTGGGGAACACCTTGATAGCATGGGCAGTGGTGTAGCCTCTACAGTGGTGCGGTCAATTGGGAACTGGCGCGTTCTGATCATACATCTAATCAAACATACCCAAACCCGCGGTTGATTATATCCAGTTTTCGACTGTAAGCTACCGAGCAGTCAGCGTTGTGCGTCACGACAAGCTTAGGGGATTAAACTGACCATTTTGCAGCGCCGGCTGAAGACCAAATCCAAGCTCTTGATTACTAGACATTTGGGTGATCGAATCCCCAAAGAGGATGAACTGGTCGTACGGTTGGTACAAGGCCTCGGCGGCCGATTGCGGGGCGCCATGCGGCATATTCGGGTCGATGATGTATGGGGTATGATTTGCAGGTGGTGATTCGAACAATAATGAGGACGAAGAAAACAAAAGATCTAGTAATGGATAGTGTTTCAAGGATCGAGGAAGATAGACATGATGGAGGGGCTGCGGGGAGAGAAATCGGATCATCGGGATCGGTTGTCTACGGCGGCCGATCCGCGTCCAGAATGGAAGAATCTCAGCTAATTGTATTGGTTTATATTGGGCCCTAACAGTAAACAACGCTGGATTATAAATAAATCACAATCTCGACAATGGTATGTTGCCCTAGCCATAATTTATCAAACTTCTGTCTTGTGCTGGTTGCAACATTCAAACAATGTTCTACTATATATATAGAACGTTCGGCCCGATCGAGCTGGCCGAACCGGCATTGAATTTTGTCCCCTACATTTCTTCCCAAGACAAGCACAAAGCTCTGTTTAACGTGATGCATCTCTTTGATGTACATTTTGACAGTTGGAACTGATGATGTTAAATACACGTTACCTAGATTAGCGCCTATTTCCCTTGGCCTGCCAGATCAATCATAAACTGAAATTTGACCACATGGCTCGTTTCAATAACCCAAAAGTCACCAAAAATTGAATTTCGATTTTAATGCCATATGAGCAATATCTCAAGAGCGGGATCCTAACTCACATGTCGCGCTGAAACCCCGCTGTTTAATTCGCGGCGAGATTACATACTCCGCTGCGAAAGAACAAGATGCTAATATCCTCCATGAGTTGCTCTATAGAGAGCGAACGGCCCAAATTTTCACCCGTTTGTACAGAAGCCAAGGGATGGTCAAGAATATTGTTGCTCATCATATTGGCCTTACTTCTCTAGAGGCATGCCATGTTCTCGACGTGGACTGGATCTACGGAAGTTTCAACGTGTGCATCCGGGTCGATATTGACGGTCCAAGGACACATACTGAGAAACAGGTGATGATTCGGTTTCCACTGCCCTACAGGATCGGCGAGAGCTCTTGCCCAGCGAATGCGGACGAGAAGGTCCGTTGCGAAGTTGGGACATTTGCATGGGTCGTCTTCGCCATCAGCCAAATGCAATCAACAGCCTCGAAGATGGGTTCTAGCAGGCAATGGTGATGAGAAGTGTCTGGTCTTGCTTCTTTCGTCGAGATCATTGCAGAGGATCATTTGTTTCTCAACTTTACTGATCTCAACCAGTTTAATATTTTTGTTGACCATAACTGGAACATCAAGTGTCTGATAGACCTTGAGTGGGCCTGCTCTCAGCCGGTGGAGATGATCCATCCTCCGCACTGGTTAACAAACGAAGCCATTGATCTGATCAGCGTTGACGACTACGAGACTCTTCACGGAGAATTCATGAACGCTCTCGCAGAGGAAGAACAATCTCTCGACTTGCCTTTCCCTCTCTACCCTGTCTTGAAACAGGGACTGGAGAGGGGCACGTTCTGGTGCTCTCTAGCTCTCGCGAGTCCCACAGCGTTGTTCAAAACATTCTATGACTACATTCAACCAAGATTATCTACTCCCCATGACGACCCAGCTTTTTGGCGGATTACCATGCCTTGCTAGACCTTCAATAAATTTGCGTTTATTGAGCATACAGTGAAAGACAAAAAGAAATACGATATCTCCTTGCGAGAAGCATTCCAATCCTGAATCGCTGATAAGGTCGGTGCAACAGTTAAAAGATTAGCCTGTATTACCCAGTCTATCGTCATTCTATATACTAGTACGCAACTGCTCTGACCCAGCAGACATAAGAAACAAGACACATAACACGTATCCAGCGTTTGCATCGCCATACACATCACATCCAATACGACGCAAGTTTCATCACAAGAATCTAGTGATCTACAGCGCCCAAGCCAACAGCTGGGCCACGGCGAGACCCCCGGCCAACAAAACGGCGGGAGCCTCCAACCCGACTCTCGTACCGGAAGAGGAGGACTCGTCCTCTGCGAAGGTCGTCAGTCATACACCACCGGGTGAATACATGGGGAAACACTCACTACTCGTCAAGTGCGAACCATCGTTATTGGGGACGACGCTGAACGACTCCGAGTCGGCTAGTGTCCGTCCGTGCTCGTCGAAGGAGATGAATCGGAAGGAATAGCCATCGCTGTAGGAGTAGTATAATAATTAGAATACGTGGAAAGTCTGCAGTGAAGCTTGGTAGGATGAAAGGTACGTACGTCGCGGTGGTGTTGACGTCGTGGAATGTGAATTCGCCCTTTTTCGGGTCAACGCCGTGGGCGATTGTTACGAAGACGCGGGCGTCCTCGTTGATGAGGTTGATATCGAAGGAGGTAGGGTCAGAGCTGTTGGAGTCAGTTTTAACGTTGGATTCCTGGTGGGCTAGGGGATAAGTGTTGTGTCGTACGATTCTGTGGTCCATTTGATGGTGGTATTTTGGCTGAAGTCTAGCTCGGAGCCGCCGTGGGGTTCGTCAATGGTGATTGCTGTTGCGCGTTAGATTGCATATCTTTATATTAAACCAGGATGAGGATGTAGAGTACAGACCGGACGTGATGGCAGCGCATAACGCCGTTAAAGCAAAGGGAGTCTTGAAATACATTATGAATATAGATATGAATTAGGTAGGTTGATATTAAGTGGGCGTCCGGGGCCCCGTGGGAAACACGATACAGATATAAAGATTAAAAAGAATTAAGCCGATAAACTAAACTGATCAACTGGGGGTCTGGCCTTCATAAGGACGTGAAATTTATACTGAGGGTGATCCCTTCTCCGTCGAGAACAGAGTGGACAAGCTTTAGAGGAAGATCGGCAGGCATATTGGTCTGTCAAGATATTCCAGTCGACGCAATATCACAAGGGAATTGACAGGATCGGGTTAAAGCGGACTGGCTCATCTCGCAAGCCTTGCCAGAAAAAGTCTTGCACCGTTCATAAATGCCTGCATGGGTCCCAGAGTCCCACTCTCGGTTTCCCGACTCCGCTTTGTTGGTGCTCCACCTGTTAGCCGAGTCTTCCTATTCTCCTTTTATTTTCTTGTCCTGAGGTTGCTTCCAACATTCATACCGAGTATATTTTATACGCCAATCTGTCAACTGGATAAATGGTACGGAGTATCGTAGAGGGACTGCAGAATCGTTGGATTGTGAAATATAGAACTCCCACTCGAATCGGTCTCTCTCCGAGACTGCAAGGCCCATAGGTATCAACCTCCGAACATCAGTTGCACCGAAATAGGCTATGAGAGTACCCCGGAAAACCCCAGAAATCCCCATGATGAGTTGCGGGCTCCAGAATTGACTCCAGAGTACTGGGGTAATATGGAGCCGTTCATGATAGCTCTTTATCATGAACATTTGCGAGTTCAATTTCATGAAATCTCTGCCGACCCACTTCGGGCCCATCGGACACCATGTCTTCCAAAGTCACCAGAGGCAGACACTACGGAGTAGATAGTCTTCACAAAATTTCCAGTGATTGATAAGCCAGAGGGAGCATGTGAAGTTCTGTGGCCATCATCGTATCCAGGCAATGTGTGGGCCGGACCTCGGCTGGGAGAGCTTGAATCGGACTATCTGGATGATCTGTATGGAATAGATTATGCATCATGCCTTGTGTTTCTTCATCATATGAGGTAACCTCGAATCGGTCCGAGTAATAAATAGTCGATTCGGAGCTGTAACCCCGATGCTGCTCCGTGGATCTTGACTGGTCGTACTTATCCTCTAGGAGATAATCCCAACTCTCTACGACCTAGACCTGGACTCAAACTTGGTGCATATCGTGTAGATCCCTCTCGTCAGTCTCCACCCTCTTTGTGTGCCATTTATGCAGTGACCGGAAGGAAGAGGCCCTTGGAAGACTGACATGTTGCCAATATAGAGAAGGAGAAACAAGAAAACAACTGTTTATATGATCCCCAGATATCCTCATCGAAATGGTTAACAAGCCTGGATCGGATACTACTATCGTGTCCGTTTGCTGGACGACTCTCATGCCACCCAACTACCGAACAAGCCCCCGACAAGCCCTCTGAGCATCATGAACAATGGTTGCAGCATCTTGAACGTCATGGATCAATCCGACTGACGCCCCCGCGTAGGTTGCCAGTCTCCCCTGCGGCCCCCAGCCAGCATCACCCGCCTTGGAAGCTTGATCGTGAAGCACCTGCAGCTCCTCAAATGGCTTTCCCTCCTGTTGCTCCACGTACGACCGATTGATAATCGTCCGAGGACTATACTCCTGCGGCCACCCGAACGTCCCCCGAAGATGATTATACAGCAGCGTCCGCCTTGTCGCGACCGCCCCATCCGCCGCCCGGACAACCTCATCCTGATACCCACGACTGATACGCGCCTCACGAGCAGCAAGGAACCGCGTCCCCATCGCCGCCCCCGACGCCCCCAAACAGATCGCAGCCGCCACGCCCCGTCCATCCGCAATGCCCCCCGCCGCCAACAGCGGGATCCCGCTTCCCGCCATCACATCCGCCACCTCCGGCAGCAGCGACATCAGCCCCATCCCGTCCGTCGCCCTCCCATGGCCTCCCGACTCAGCACCCTGAATAACAACCACATCCGGCCTCTCCTCGTCCCGTCGCAGAAGAAGCTCCTTGACCTCAGCCAGCGTCCCCACCTGCACCCACACCTGGGTCTCCGGACACGCACGGCGTACCAAGCGCGACCACTCGTCCAAGCCCCGCTGGCCGTCCCGGGGCGCATACAGCCACGCCGCGCAGGGCCGGAACTTTTCCACGGCAGCCGCCGCGATCGTCGAATCGTCGCTCCACAGCTGGAAGCCGACTCCGACGGGGAGGACGTTAGTGGGCCATGTGCCGTGCTGCGGTGCGGCTTTTGCGATCAGCGATGTCGCTTCTTCTAGGTCGGCTAATGTTTCTTCGGTTTTGACTCGCGGTCCGAGAAATCCTAGCCCGCCGGCTTGAGATACGGAGACGGCTAGTGCCGGGCCGGACATGACGCGCATTGGTGCGCTGACAATGAATGGGCTGGATACCCATGGGTATCGTGAGAGGAGTGTTGTGGCTGGGGAGGCCATTTTTAAATTTCTATAATGTGATATCTTTTGTAGGTAGGTAGTGGTAGTTGGTCGGTCGGTCGTAAAGACTCCATGAGTATGTGGTCAAATAGTAGAGTTGCAATACCGGGTAGAACTGAGGACCCACGGTGAGTCAATTATAAATCACTGCATCTCGTCTTCACATGTCAGCATCACTGAAGGACTATTATGAATGAAGTTCGTATTCATTCGACAAATATAAATCGCAAGTCCAATAAATCACCCTCTTGGCCTTTATATTGAGTCATTTCATGTTGGTGGTTCCAACTATTCCGCTTTAGACTTAGACAGCATGGATTTGCCCAATCTCAATGATTCACATGAAATGATCAAAACGCAGATCTTAGACTGCCTACACTTCGTGGTAGACACGACATAGAATTAGCGACGCAGCAACAGAACCCACACTAATTTACCATTTATCCACCTGTGATACTCTATACTACCTACAATGCATTCCGTTCTCTTCGTCACCGGCAACGCCAACAAACTCGCCGAAGTCACCAGCATCCTCGACTCCGCTCTCATCCAGGTCCGAAATGCCGCTCTCGACATTCCTGAGATCCAGGGCACGTTGGAAGAGATTGCGAGAGACAAGTGTCGACGAGCGGCTGAAATGGTATGGGCTCGTCTATCCTATCCATTGTCCTCCTACAGTGTTACTAGTGTTCGGATAAGACTATTTGCTAAGTATATGGATGGCAGGTCCAAGGCCCCGTCCTAGTCGAAGACTCTGCTCTCGAGTTCACTGCGATGAATGGTCTGCCTGGGCCGTATATGTGAGAATCTCGCAATAACACTAAACCAAGGATTGAACCCATGATGGGGTAAGATTAAACTCTACCGATACTAATAAATGTATATGATGCAGAAAACACTTCTTCGAGTCGCTTGGAAACGACGGCTTGATCAAACTGATCGATCCCTTCGAGGATAGATCCGCCGCTGCTGTAAGCACTTTTGCTTTTGCGGAAGGGCCAGGAGAAGAGCCCGCTGTGTTCCAGGGGAGACTTGAGGTACGGCCTGACTTTTCTGATTTGGTGGCCGGTTTGCTGTCGTAGTAGGTGGACTGTTGGTGACTGACTGGTGTATTATACAGGGTCGGATCGTATCTCCGCGTGGACCGACGGGGTTTGGTAATCTTCTTTCTCCTTTCTCTCTTTTTATTCGTTTCATTCAATAGAAAGTGGGCTGATGTTATATTGTGTTTAGGATGGCAGCCTATCTTTGAAATTGGAGGGGAGACGCTCGCTGAGATGAGTCGGGAGAAAAAGGTAAGTTGGCCCATCCCTGCGTTGACTTTCAGCATGGCATGAAGCTTATGGACGATAGAATGGAATGTCCCATCGTTATCAAGCGTTGTGCAAACTACAAGAGTGGCTGCAGGAAAAGGCCAAAAACTAACGGTACTTGGTTGTTACTAGGATATATATTGTTGACTAGATACGAAGAATAGAATCAAACTTGGTATTATAACGACCATAAAAAAAATAGAAGCACTGTGGTACTGGCTCATCACGGGCTGGTACCATGGTTGCAGGGTTCAAGGTAAAAGTCACAATACTCATTATGTACCAGTTGGGTTAAGTTCATTGAAAGTCTAATGCAACAATGTATATCATGGCCTTCCCCACGCTCTTCTTCTGTATGTCGCCACATTATATAGTACCAGAGATGGTGGCATGCCATGTGATGCCCATCTGACCAAGACGGGTAGAACAATCGCATGGATAGACGTATCACGCTGAATGGCTTAGACATCTAATGGAGACGGGGCATGCATCCGCCACGGATCGCCGTCTGGGCGCGTTCATCCGAGCGTGTATGATCGGCAATGTCCACGTAAATCCTGGGGTTTTGGCAGGCGTGGATGCGACCGTTGGCATTCGAGCTACAGTAGATCATTGGATGCACATTGAATGCACGGTGCATGTGCGGGGAGGCGAATTCCTGGTTACACCAGACGATGCGATATCTCCTGTGGGGTGGGGAGTTGGATCGGATGGAAAGGGATTAGAGTCATCCATCCTGATGAGGTGTGGATTGAAACTGGAGAGTATGGAACAAGACAGGCGATCAAGAATGAGATCAGACCGCAGTTGACCAGAGACCGAAATCAAATGACGAATCGGGCGTGTGGCCTCAGGCGAGGCGGGCAGTCATCTGCTCCTCCCGCCCTTTGTTCGTCTCTCTTCATATTACAGACAGTGTTTCATCCGAATATCATTCGTTTATTATTAGACGTGTCTTTCCTTCACTTCTCTGACCATGTCCATTCTTATTCTCTTCTCTTCTTCTCTTCTTCCTCATCGGTGGTCGTTTGTTTATCTCTTCTCCACTCGATAACCACAGTTTTGATTTCACCCCCTCACGGTGTGTCGGGCTAAGGGGACGGACCTCCCCCCATTGACCCGCTTTTTTAATCGGCAATCAATTCGGTGGTGGAAACCATCTGACCTCACTCAGGCTTTCAACCAGACTTGGCGGTAGCCAGCTTCTTGGTTTCGTTGGCTTTCCCCTTTGAAGTGTCCGTGGTCGAGGATATGTCCGTTGGTACGTCGTCCTTGGATTGACAACTGAAGGTACGGTGCGTGGCTGGGCCTGACGCCGCGACAGGTCGTTGAATTCGAGTTCGAAAACAACTCTCCAGACGTTGCGATTCTCTTCAAAGATGCCTCGATCGATTTCTTCCTACTTTTCCGCGATCCCGGGGCAAGATCCGCCCCCCAGCGATAATGATCGCCGCAGGTCGTCGTCGTCGCGAACAGCACCTCCCTCGCCCTCTGCTGTCCGACGCAGCCACAGTCTGCTCTCCGAGACCCATACCGCCTATCAGTCGTTGGGTACCCCGCTGGAGGTTGGGGAGACAACCAGCTTGTTAGGAAAGACGCAAGAGAACTCCCGACGCATGCCACGACGGTCCTATACCAGTACATCCGGGATATCAGGGCCTGACCCCCTTGTCCGACACGCTTTAATGGCGGGGAGCGTGCGTCGATCACGCCATCACAGTAGAGCGAACTCGACGAATCGACGGCTCAGTCGCTCCGGCAGCGTGGAGGGGGACCGCGTCGACAGCCTAGCTGCATCGATGAAAGACGCCATGACGGCGTCGTTTCTCGACGATCGCACCTGGTATGACCAGTTTACCTCCACCGACTGGGTACATGATAGTATCGCGGACGGAGCGCGCCTACGGGAGCTGCGCAGCAGGAAGGATCTCCGCGGCCGGCTCTTGTCGTGGTTTGACGGGGCTCAGGGCTGGATTCTGGTCGCTCTCATCGGCTGTATTACCGCGGCCATCGCCTACACCGTGGATGTGACGGAGGACTTCATGTACGATTTGAAAGAAGGATTTTGCTCAACGCGGTTGTTCCATAGCCGCCAAAGCTGCTGTATGGGCGGGTTGGATTGCCCCGCATGGCGGTCGTGGTCCCGCGTCCTGAGCCCCTCTGGAACGGAAAACGAGTGGGTCGATTTTGGCATGTTTGTGTTTTGGGTGGGTGGCCTGTCGGCCATATCCTGTTTTCTGACTCTGCTCACCAAGACTGTCGTTCCGTCGTCCATTTCGTTGGCGACCTTAGACGAAAACCTCGGCGCGGTGGGATCGCGAGGAGCGCAGCGGAGCTATGGGACGGTCGATTCGCCCGACTCCAACGAGTCGAGCCCACAGACGGCTTACCCCGTGGTCTCGACACGCCCGGACATGGTCTACTATTCGGCCGCAGGCAGTGGGGTGGCTGAGGTGAAGGTCATCAACAGTGGCTTTGTGTTGCACGGATACCTGGGCTTCAAGACCCTGGTCATCAAGACCGTCGCCCTGATATTCAGCGTCTCATCCGGCTTGAGCCTGGGCAAGGAAGGTCCGTACGTGCATATTGCCACGTGTGTGGGGAACATCTGCTGCCGCCTGTTCGCCAAATACAATCGCAACGACGGCAAGCGGCGCGAGGTGCTGAGCGCCAGCGCCGCCAGCGGTGTTGCAGTGGCTTTCGGGGCCCCCATCGGCGGTGTTCTGTTCAGTCTCGAGGAAGTGAGCTACTACTTCCCACCTAAAACGCTGTTCCGGACGTTTTTCTGTTGTATCGCTGCCGCCCTATCCCTCAAGTTTCTTAACCCCTACGGGACCGGCAAGATTGTTCTCTTCCAGGTCCGGTATCTTGGGGATTGGGAAATTTTTGAGATCGCCATCTTTATCTTCCTGGGCGTCCTTGGAGGGGCGCTGGGCGCCCTCTTCATCAAAGCATCCAGCCTGTGGGCGCGTTCCTTCCGTCGGATTTCAGTCATCCGTCGTTGGCCCATGCTCGAGGTTCTGCTTGTTGCTCTAGTCACAGGACTGGCGAGCTTTTGGAATCGTTACACGAAGCTTCCGGTCTCCGAGCTGCTGTTCGAGCTGGCTAGTCCCTGCGAACACGAATCGACATCCCCGACTGGCCTTTGCCCCTCCCCGGATGGGATCGGCGAGATAATTCGCTATCTTCTTGTGGCATTCGTCATCAAGAGCTTTTTAACGGTGATCACCTTCGGTATCAAGGTCCCTGCGGGTATCTATGTCCCGTCGATGGTGGTTGGTGGTCTGATGGGGCGGATCGTGGGCCATGTGGCACAGTATCTGGTGGTGAAGTATCCCAACTTTTTCCTTTTCGGATCCTCGTGTCCGGCTGTTCCTGGCATGGAGTCCTGCGTGACTCCGGGCATCTATGCGATGATTGCAGCCGGCGCCACCATGTGTGGTGTGACCCGACTGTCCGTCACCCTGGCGGTCATCCTGTTTGAACTGACCGGGAGTCTTGACCATGTGCTTCCGTTTTCTTTGGCCATCCTTTGCGCCAAGTGGACGGCTGACGCCATAGAACCGCGCAGCATTTACGTGAGTGACCTAGGTGGAGCTTCTCCTTCGTATACTGACAACAACCAGGACTTCCTCACCGATATGAATTCCTACCCGTTTTTGGACAACAAACTCCAGATCGTGTCGGACTCCGAGTTGGGGGACATCGTTCGACCGGTGCGCAAGAGCCGTATCATCGACATTTCCAACTCGCCGTTCGTGCGTGCCTCGGAGCTGCGGTCGAAACTGCAGCATTTGCTCATGGCTGGGGAGCTTGACAGCGGTCTTCCCATCTTGTGTGACAATGCTCTGGCCGGCCTGATCCCCGCCCCAGATCTGGAGTATGCGCTGGACAATCTCCAAGACGAGGACAATACATTGTGCTTGATGGCACTAGACACGACATCGGTGGTGTCCGACAGCGACGACGAAGGCGCCGAACGGGTGGACTTCAGCCGTTACATCGACCCAGTACGTTCCACGCTCTTCTCGTACTAGAAACGAAAGCACTAACATCTTCTAGGCACCTATTGCGTTGGACATCCACTCGCCCATTGACCTTGTCTACCAATGCTTTGCGAAGCTGGGCCTGCGATATCTGTGTGTTCTCCAGGGTGGACAGTACGCAGGCCTCGTGCACAAGAAGGCTTTTGTGAAATTCGTCAAGCAGCTTGAGTGAGTTGTATGGCCTGAATTTCGCTTGAACCACGACATTAAACATCTTACTTGAAACGATACTTCTGGGATTGGATCGAGGTGACCAACCCTGGTATATACACCTGCAGTTGGACGACTGCAGAATGCCATATATTAGCGAGGCGTTCCTTATCTTTTCTTTGATTTTTGGACAGCGTGAATGTGTATTTATTTTGCAACCATGCATATAGCGTTGATAGTCCGGGCTATCTTGTTTAGACCCACTGTTATTTAACCTTCTACATATCCACCTGGCTACCTAGGTAGTTACTAGGTTCATTCATATCCACAATAAACATTCAATTCAGTAGAAGCGATACATCGCAAGACAAACTAAGACAAAACCTACTGTAATCGTTCATACCCAACCATCCGAACCCTTACCTCGCCTTCATCCCTCCACTCCCCCGTAACCTCCTCCCCAACCCACCCAGACACCTCGTCCGCACTCACCCTCCGCCACCCATCACCACTCTCCAGCTCCTCATCCACCGGAAAAAACGTATCACACTCAAACACAGCCCCCTCCTCCTTCTTCTCCACATAAGTCATCACAATCCGCAGCGGCCTGCCCCCTTCCAACCTCAACGCCGACCCATAGATCTCCGCCCCGCCAATAACAAACACCTGTCCCAGTCTCCCCTCCACCTCAGGACCATTCTCCAACATCTCCAACGCATTCTCTAACCCAGAACAGACAACCGCATCCGTAGCCTGTCCTTCCCCAGTTACAGTAGCAGCTTTCCCAGCATCAGCAGCCTTAGCAGCATCAGCAGCAGCCTTAGCACCCTCCCTCCCCCTCTTCTCCTCTAGTTCCCTCCTAACCCTCTCCCCCACAGCCCCCGACGCATCCCTCGAAACAACAACACTCATCCTCTTCCCCAGCGGTCTCAGATGCGCCGGCACAGAATCGTACGTCTTCCGACCCATGATCATCGCGTTCGTCTCGCGCGGCTGGAACGTGCGTGTTGTCACGCGCGCGAAGAAACTCATGTCGGCTTTGATGCGCGGCCAGGGGAGCGTGCCGTTGAGCCCGATGCCGAGCCGGGTGGTGGGTTTGGGGTGCGTTTGCGGGATGGGTGTCGTTGCGACTATTAGGGTGAGAGGTTTCTGGGCGGTTGAGGGGGGCATTTTGGTTGCTTTTTTCTTTTTTTCGGGTTTCCCTTCTTTGGTATTGGGCGAATTGGATTAATGGAGGTTCGGTTTTGAGATTTTGGTGTAGGTGGTGGTTGAGGTTTGGTGGAGGGGTTGTGGTTGGTTGTCAGAATTGGCCGAGGAGTGGAGGACGCGACGCGATGAGGTTCGGTTGATTGATAGATTGATTGATAGCAGTATCGATAATGTTATCGGTATTGGTTGATATATGCGGATGCGAAGCCCACCACCCACTGCTTTTTTATTTACCTTAATAATGTATAAACTGTCTACCGATAGTCCTGCATAGGTAGGATCAAAGTTGACAATATTGTATCAGATTTATCCATATCGGGTATCTATACTATACTATATCTCATGAACAACGCCCATTTTAAACGCCATCACAAACACCATCCCAGCAACTCCTAACAAAAGCTCAACAACCATCTATGAGACTTCCAACTCAAGAACCAGAAACCTTCTCGCAAGAACAACAAAAAAGAGAAGAAAAAAAAAATATCACTGCTTCCCACTCTCCCCGCCCTCCGGCTTCAACACCCCACTATCCGCAATAGCCTTCTGAATCGCAACGGCATTCCGCTCAAGCTCCTCCCTGCGCTTCACGTCGGCTTCATCCTCGCCGAGTGTATCGAGTTTCCCAAAGAGCCATGTTTCTTTCATGGTGCGTGTTAGAGCGAGGATGTCTTCTGCGGCGCGGACCTGTTTGGTTTATTTAGTAGTTATTGGATAAAGTTGGCCAATGTATCAATTGACTCATGGGTAGGTATAATATAGAGGAGGCCTGTCTGTGGCGGCGTGTATTATATGTAGGCCATGGTACATACCAGCGCTGTGGACTCGACGTCGAGTTGGAAGGTCTCGATGGCGGTGGATGTGTGGCTTGTGTTTTCGGCCTGTCGGGGTCAGCTCATTAGATTGGAGGTTCTTGTATTTTCTCCATTTGTTTTGTGGAGAGGAATGGTGAGGTGTGTACTGTAGCTGTGGCCATGATGTTCTCGTATCGCTGGAGGAGTTGGGAGATGCTGGTGTTGATGCGGTCTGCGATTGTCAGTTTTTCTGTGCTTAGGTGGATCGTGTATTGAGGGAAACAAATTATACTGACTGTGCAACGCTTTGGATGAAGGCTGGGACTCCATCTTGACTTTGATGTCTTCTGCCTGTCTGGATGTTACTGGTGAAATGATGCGCATGATACTATTGACTGATCGATCGTGAAGGCGGGGTGCCGGGCGGCGGGTGTTATTGCCTGCAGTATCGTTGTCGATCATTTTTAGGGATTCCCTACACTATAATACTAGGCACATATGACAAGAAGCAGAAATGAATAATCTAATTAAGTCGGTTGTCATTCCTATCTGAGTAATGGTATCATATTCACTGGATTCCCATCCAAAGTCCCATAGCTGTCCATCCTTGGCGCTGCTGATATGGTGCCTGCCACACTTCTGTACAATAACAGCAACGACTAACGGACGTATTTTGACTATTCTCGGTGGTTAGTAGCGTACCTTGACAAGCCGCATCGAATCACTTACCATGAATCTCTTGTGGAAATCCGATCGTAGCAGATCCTACATGGAACAGTCAGTGCCATCCTCAATAGACAGTATCGCCCACATACGTTAACAAACTCCTTGCCTCGCTTGTCCTCCGTACCCCGGGCTTGGTTCTTGAACACCACGTCGTCGTCCCACCTGCGCTTCATGTTGAATTCTTGAGCATTGAGCAAGGGGTTGCCCCGGGCGATATCGACTTCGCGTTTCTCCTCTTCCTCGACCGCACGTTCGCGCTCTTCCTTCTCTTTCTGCTCGAGCCTCTCCTTCTTGATCTTTTCCAGTTCCCGCATCAGCTCGGCCGATTCGTCTTCGTCGTCGTCACTACCAAAAGTCAGCATCTCCAGATACCCCTTCGAACGCAGGAGACGGACCTCTCTTCGTCACTGCTTTCCTCTTCAGATCCATCTGAATCGGCGTCTATATCGCGCGACTCTTCTAATATTCGCCGTCGCTTCGCCTCCGGATCTTCCTCTATTCCCGCAGCATCGCCGCCGGGCGGTGCATCTTCTAGCTGGCGCTTAGGGGTTCCGTTGTCGATAGCAGGCGCATCAACGGGGACACCGTTCTTCTTCGCGAAATGAGTCGCCTCGGCCTGGAGAAGCTCTGCGCGCAGATCTCGTGTCTGGCTCTCGCTTTCGTTTCCCTGGCCTTGTTGACTTGGTACGGTCAGAGTGGAGTCGCGTCGTCGGACTGTCGGCACTTACCGGGTCTTCAGGTGCGTGTAGGCGGGGAGAAGGCGCTGGTGGTAGGCTGGGCCGCGGAGAGCCTCTTTCCCTTGGGCCTGTTTCTCGTTAATGGCTGGTTATAATGGAGAACGGACGGAGTGTGTACCGGGTCGAATGTGGGCCTATGGGCTGTGAGATTGTTAGCACACCAACTCGAAAGATATAGGCTCCTTCAAGTGGTTATACCTGTAGTCATGGTGGGCGATCACTCTCAGTCTTTGGTTCTGATGGGGATTGTTTCTTGAACAAGAGCGATGAAGTGAAGCACGAAAGTCGGCCCTGATGAGATGAGTCAGCAGTATTACAGACCGCCTGGCGTTCCTGGGTATATGATTGGTCTGTGAATGGAACAAAGATCCTCCGGGCGTCCAGTGACGCAGCGGAACAATCCGCAGGATCAAATTTCCAGAAGAAAGTCCGCTTTTGAGACCCCGCTGGGGTCGAGTTCCCCTCCGCAATCATGAATAAAGAAGCACCGCTCTCGATTGCCGAGCGCGATTTTATCCTCAATGCGCTGCGCGAAGGCGTGAGACTGGATGGCCGGGAGGCTGACCAGCTCCGTCCTTTGAAAGTCTCGTTTGGGGAGGAATACGGGCATGTGAAAGTGCAGCTGGGTAAGACCAGGTGAGTTCCTCAAATCGGTTTATGGACAATTGTCTAGCTGTTTTTCTCTGTTTCTGATGGTGGTTCTACAGTCTCATTGTTCGCATCTCGTCGGAAGTAACGAAGCCGCACGATGACCGCCCCTTCGATGGCCTGTTCACCATCGCCCTGGAGTTGACTGCCATGGGCTCGCCTGCGTGGGACAATGGCCGGTAGGTTCTAGTGTCGTGGTATCCCTTCTACGTATTCTTCTGACGCGACCCTTCTACAGACAGGGAGATTTGGAGACCTACGTGACCAACACGCTCGATCGCGTGGTCCGTCATTCGAACGCTTTGGACACCGAGTCCCTCTGCATCATGAAAGGAGTCAGCTGCTGGAGTATCCGAGCTGACGTACACATTACCGACTACGATGGGAATCTTGTTGACGCTTCCTGTATCGGAATCATGGCCGGACTGCTACATTTCCGGCGTCCCGACGCCGTCGTCAAGGATGGACAGGTGATTGTGTACGGACTCGACGAGCGGGTACCGGTCGCTCTCAACATCACCCACAAGCCACTGGCTGTCACCTTCCACACTTTCGACGAAGGCAAGCTAGTCATCCTGGATGCGACCCGAAAGGAGGAACAGGCGTCCGAGGCGGACGTGGTGATTGGCCTTAACAACGCGGGCGATGTCTGCTTCGTGTCCAAGTTCTCGGGATCGCCTGTGGATGCTATGGTGTTTGTCAACAAGACCAACGTTGCCCTGGAGAAGGTCAAGGAGATCAACGGGGTCATCGACAAGGCGTTGCAGGCCGATCTGGCCAAGCGGGGCAAGGGTGGGCTCGCAGAACAATCGCGGGCGGAGAATGACCGGTAACGCTTCAAACCTCGATCAACTATTGAAACGACGAATCCGATTTTACTTTGGGCAGCATGTATTATAAACCAGCGATCAAAGGACCGTTTTGTCTGACACTTCCGTTTCAGAACAAAACACTTGTATCTTAAAGGAGAAGTAGGGAAGCCTGTCAGTCCCGACATATCCGCATAGACCTACTCCCAGCGACCGTAATCATTTCCCGTCATCCATAGATTAAAGAGCATACGAAGCGTATGCAACACCGTTGCGCCTGTCTCATGCTGATTCGATGGCTGTTCGGGACGGGGCCGATGACGCACATCCGTTACAGGTAGAGAGACGTCGACGAGTAGAGGTTACGCACCAGAAAGAAACAAAGCGTACTCCGTAGAACCTCCAGGACTCCAAGGGAGACAGTCAATCTGATAAAAAAGACGACCGAAAGAAAGCCCGGAGAAGCAGGTCTGAGGCAGATCGTAGGATATCACTGCTAATAATACCAACGCGACTAGTGGCCGCCGCTAAGCCTCTCGGGCCACTAGGGGAACTCTCTCACGCTCTCTCCATTCGCTCGTCTTTGTCCGCCGTCAACCTGCACCTTCGCCGACACTGCCAGGCTGATTCCTTTTTTTTTTTTTTTACTATTTCTCCTTCTTGGAATAAGCACAAGGACCTTACACCTCGATTCCCTATCCACTTTCGTGTCCATTCGTAATTCTCCGTCTCCTCCCCTCCTTGCGCCTCGTGCCTTTCCATTCCACGCCCTCCTTAACCCCCCTCCTCTCCCCTCTCCGATTCCGGTCGTTCGATCAATGCTCCAGGGGCACACCATCACAGTGACGGTGTCTGTCCACCTTCAACATCATGGCCAGCGGTAGGCCTCCCGGACATCATTCAGCCGCTGGCCGTGATGATGATCTGTTGGGGCTGGAGGAGTCCGCTCCCATTTACAACACAGGCCGCGGCCCCCCCGTTAACGATGAACACCTCTTGCGACGGTACGATATCGACGACTCCGACCACCTCCAACCGCGCCCCTCGGTGTCCTACGACAACTTCGTCGGCGGTCAGGTCCCGTCGCATACTGGTGTCCATCTGACGGCCGGGGCGCATGCCCCGTCTCAGGCGGGTTCGTTCGTCAGCGATCCGTATTCAGGCAACGACATGTCTCGAACCTATTCGCAGACCTCCGGACTGGACAACTACAGGCGCTATTCAGTCGACGACTATGGAGACGACCGGTCGATGCACGACTACTACATGGATGATGGGGACGACCGCTTGGCCGATCACCGCGTGCGGCAGGCCAAGGAGCGGAACAGTATCCTTGGTCTAGGAGGCGGGCTGATGGGGAGGGCCAAAAGCATGCTGGGCATGGGCCCCGAATACTCGGAGATGGACCTTCCCCTGACGGAACATGGTGCCGGTGCCACACGGATCGACAGCGCTGAACCGGACGAGTCCGCTGCGGCCGGGGCGCCTAGGAAGACCAAAAAGCCCGGCTTCAAGTTCGGTTTTGGCCGGCGGAAGGTTGACCCCTCGACCCTGGGTCCTCGAAACATCGTCTTGAACAATCCTCCCGCCAACGCAGCCCACAAGTTCGTCAACAACCATGTGTCCACGGCCAAGTACAACGTCTTCACCTTCATCCCGAAGTTCTTGTTCGAACAGTTCTCCAAATATGCCAACTTGTTTTTCTTGTTTACCGCGGTCCTGCAGCAGATCCCGAATGTGTCGCCCACCAATCGATACACCACTATCGGCCCGCTCATCGTGGTGTTGCTGGTCTCTGCCATCAAGGAGTTGGTGGAGGATTACAAGCGGAGGTCGTCGGACAAGTCCCTGAACTACTCCAAGACGCAGGTCTTGAAGGGCTCGGCCTTCCACGAGACGAAGTGGGTCGATGTGTCGGTCGGGGACATCATTCGCGTCGAGTCCGAACAACCGTTCCCGGCCGACATGGTGCTCTTGGCCTCCTCGGAGCCGGAGGGCTTATGCTACATCGAAACCGCTAACTTGGATGGAGAGACCAACCTGAAGATCAAGCAGGCGATCCCCGAGACGGCTCACCTCGTCAGCCAAGCGGACCTCAGCAGGTTGAGTGGTCGGATCCGGTCCGAACAGCCCAACAGCAGTCTCTACACCTACGAAGCGACCCTGACCATGCACGCCGGAGGCGGCGAGAAGGAACTGCCCTTAGCGCCGGACCAGCTTCTCCTTCGAGGAGCGACACTGCGGAACACGCCGTGGGTGCACGGGATCGTGGTCTTCACCGGTCATGAAACCAAACTGATGCGCAATGCCACGGCGACGCCGATCAAGCGGACGGCGGTGGAGCGCATGGTCAACATCCAGATTCTGATGCTGGTCAGCATCCTGCTCGCCCTCAGCGTGATTAGCTCTGTCGGCGACCTGATCATCCGTCAGACGCAGCAGGATAAGCTGGTTTACTTGGACTACGGCAACACGCACCCGGTGAAGCAATTCGTTCTGGATATCTTCACTTACTGGGTCCTGTACTCCAACCTGGTGCCCATTTCGCTCTTTGTCACGATCGAGATCGTCAAATATGCCCAGGCGTTCCTGATCAACTCCGATCTCGACATCTACTACGACAAGACGGACACTCCCGCCACCTGTCGGACGTCATCGTTGGTCGAAGAGCTCGGTCAGATCGAGTACATCTTTTCCGACAAGACGGGCACCCTGACTTGCAACATGATGGAGTTCAAGCAATGCACAATCGCTGGCATTCAATACGGTGAAGATGTTCCGGAGGACCGACGGGCCACGGTGGAAGACGGAGTTGAAGTCGGCGTTCACCCCTTCAAACAGCTCCAGGAGAACCTCAAATCCCATCCGTCATCCGGGGCCATCCATCATTTCCTCACCTTACTTGCCACTTGCCACACAGTCATTCCCGAAAAGTCGGACAAGGACCCCGACGTGATCAAATATCAGGCGGCGTCTCCCGACGAAGGTGCCCTGGTCGACGGTGCTGCCACGCTGGGATATCGCTTCACGAACCGTAGACCCCGGTCTGTGATTTTCAAGGCCGATGGACAGGAATATGAATACGAACTGCTCGCGGTGTGCGAGTTCAACTCGACGAGGAAGCGGATGTCGACCATTTTCAGGTGTCCCGATGGGAAGATCCGCATCTACACCAAGGGCGCGGACACGGTCATCCTCGAACGTCTGAACCCACACAACCCTATCGTCGAGGCGACGCTACAACATTTGGAAGAGTATGCATCGGACGGCCTTCGGACGTTGTGTCTGGCGATGCGCGAAATTTCAGAGGACGAGTTCCAACAATGGTACCAAATATTCGACAAGGCGGCCACCACCGTCAGCGGAAACCGTCAGGATGAGCTGGACAAGGCTTCCGAGCTCATTGAGAAGGACTTCTTCCTTCTGGGAGCAACGGCGATTGAGGACAAACTGCAGGATGGTGTTCCTGACACAATCCACACCCTCCAGACTGCGGGTATCAAGGTCTGGGTGTTGACCGGTGATCGACAGGAAACGGCCATCAACATTGGCATGTCCTGCAAGCTCATCTCGGAAGACATGACATTGTTGATCGTGAACGAGGATACCGCTCAAGATACACGGGATAACATCCAGAAGAAGATGCAGGCCGTCCAGAGCCAAAGTGCTGCTGGTGAAGCCGAACCGTTGGCCCTCGTCATCGACGGTCGATCCCTGACTTTCGCCCTGGAAAAGGACATGGAGAAACTGTTCTTGGATTTGGCTGTCATGTGCAAGGCTGTGATCTGTTGGTAAGCTTATCATTTTCGTCCTCTTCCCTCTTTTGAGTTACGTGCAAGGCCATGCCAACTAACGTTCTACCAGTCGTGTCTCCCCGCTTCAAAAAGCTCTGGTCGTGAAGCTTGTCAAGCGCCATCTGAAGTCCCTTCTCTTAGCTATTGGCGACGGGGCTAACGACGTTTCCATGATCCAAGCCGCTCATGTTGGTGTTGGTATCAGCGGTGTCGAAGGCCTCCAAGCCGCCCGGTCTGCAGATGTTGCCATCGCACAGTTCCGCTTCCTTCGCAAGCTGCTCCTTGTCCATGGTGCTTGGAGCTATCACCGGATCAGTCGAGTTATCTTGTATTCCTTCTACAAGAACATTGCGCTCTACATGACGCAGTTTTGGGTGGGTGGACCGTATTTCCTCAAACGCCCCTCCAATGCTAACAGGCGTGACAGTATTCGTTCCAAAATGCGTTCTCCGGTGAAGTTATCTACGAATCCTGGACACTCTCCTTCTATAACGTCTTCTTCACGGTGCTTCCGCCGTTTGCGATGGGCATCTGTGATCAGTTCATCTCCGCCCGACTCTTGGATCGGTATCCCCAGCTGTACCAGCTTGGGCAAAAGGGCGTGTTCTTCAAACGGCACAGTTTCTGGTCGTGGATCCTCAACGGCTTCTACCACTCCCTGATCCTCTACATCTTCTCGCAGCTGATCTTCCTTTACGATCTCCCGCAAGCGGATGGCAGAACAGCGGGCCACTGGGTCTGGGGCTCGGCCCTGTACACCGCGGTCCTGGCCACGGTGCTCGGCAAGGCAGCGCTGATCACGAACATTTGGACCAAGTACACGTTCATTGCTATCCCCGGCTCGATGGTCATCTGGTTGGTTTTCTTGCCGGCCTACGGGTACGCAGCGCCGGCGATTGGCTTCTCCGAAGAATACTACGGCACCGTCCCGCGGATATTCACCTCCCCGATCTTCTACCTCATGGCGGTGGTGCTCCCCTGCCTGTGCCTCATGCGCGACTACGCCTGGAAGTACGCCAAGCGCATGTACTACCCGCAGCACTACCACCACGTGCAGGAGATCCAGAAGTACAACGTCCAGGACTACCGGCCGCGGATGGAGCAGTTCCAAAAGGCCATCCGCAAGGTGCGGCAGGTGCAGCGCATGCGCAAACAGCGCGGCTACGCGTTCAGCCAGGCCGACGAGGGCGGGCAGATGCGCGTGGTCAACGCGTACGATACGACGCGGGGACGTGGTAGATATGGTGAAATGACGAGTTCGAGGGCTCTCGTATAATGATTGGTTTATTGTTATTGATCTTGATTTCTGTTTTTCCTCTCACACCGCTTACTATTTACTTTCTTGTCCTTTTTATTTTTCTGTCCATCTGCTGATTGAAGCTGTATTGTGTGTGCATTTCAGGCGGATCTTGTATTGATTTTTTGGTTCCATATCATTATCCTTCTTCTTATTTTCTTATTATACTATCTTATCTTTTTCTCTTTCTTACTCGTGATCATCTTAGCTATGGTTGATGTTGTCATTTTAACTACGGTCAATATTGAAACCGGTGGTATCAATCAAGATACCACCGTTTTATGCTGTCGAAAAAGGCGTGACTTCAGTGGGTGGAGTGCGGTTGACGAGTGTATACTACAATTAGAATATGAGGACCTGTGAACGTGACGCCGAATATGACAACTCTGAGGCTGTTTACGGCCGCAGTTCCATTCTGGACCACTGCTCTTCGCCCGCTGAGCTAAACCCAACCTCGACCACATCAAGTGTTCCCTCTACTTCAGCCTTACGGAAAATGGCGCAATATGGCTTCCTTCGCAGCCAGATTTAGTCTCTAATGTCAGCTGGTCTAGTCAGGCAGTACAGAAAATTCTACTTGTTTTGCTCCGAGACAGATCAAACTACGAACAGATATCACATCTAGTCAATTAAGAACTACATCATAACAAATCCCACTTCTAGCTAGATAATCAAACAAACAATAGCTCCCTTTGTTTTCCCAAAACCGGTTAGGCTGGAGATGCAATGTACTGTCCAACAGACCTACTTTACGAAGATAAACTGCCTTGTCACGCATCCTCTCCAAACTGCAGAGTTAGGGCTAGACACCTCTTTCACAGGGCCAAATAAAACATTATCTTGATTTAACCCAAACGATCGTTTCAAACGGCCGTTTCAAACGGCACGTAAAGAACTAGTCGGCGCAACCTGCCGTCACTATGAGTTCAGCAAGTTGATTCAAGAGAAGCCTCATCTAGGCCGAACGTGTCCTCGTGTACGAGTACTTGAAGGATGACTTTTTGGGTCTCGTTAGAAGGGCAATATCTATGCGAGCACGGAGGGAGATTCTCAGGGATAGTTTGCTGGGGATTGCGGAGTTGCATAATAGGGATGTTGTTCATCTAGGTAATCAAATATGTCTCCAAAGTTATCACCAACGCGAGTTCTGATTGGCATTAGACATCAAACCGGATAACATCATGGTCGACTGTACCTCCGACGGCCACAATATCTCCATCAACCGGGTCCAACTCATCGATCTCGAAAACGCAGCTCACCTTCCAAAAGGCCGATGTATCAAGGGTATGCTAGCAGAAAAGGACAACTGGCGCAGTTCCGAAGCGCATATCAAGGGCGAGCTGAATAAACCGACGGATGTATTTTCCTTCAGTATTGTTGTACGTTGTTTCTTTCTCTTCGTCACAAAAACAAGACATCTACTAGCCCAGTGGGAAACTGTATTCACGTCGTCCTCGGACGCGTTATCCTCGGGCCTGATGAGGATTTCAAGAAGCATTATGCGGAAGGCGCTCTGCCTCTTTTTATCCGTCTACAGAGACAGTTTTCGTATTTCGGGGATCAGGAAGGAGTTAGCGGCTTGGTGGGGCATCTCGCGAATGGTGAGATAGGGTGCGAGGCTGTGCAGATGCTGTGCAATGAGAGGTTAAAAGAGCACATCCCATACAGACCTTTTGCCGAGTGGCCCGAAGTTACAGATCCGGCATTCGAGGATCTTATCAGTGGACTGGCGAACCTTGATCCGGCGAAACGGCTTACGGCGCGTCAGGCGTTGGGGCATCCATGGTTAGCAGATATCTGAGAGTATTCATATATATTCAAGTACAGGTGTGGAAGATAAGAAAATGCGAGTATAAGAACATTGTGGATTCGAGTCCAGGTCGATGTACAGCAGCTTAAGGAACAGCTGAAGGAATCGAACCGTTTTGGGAATCAGAATAGCTTCACAGTGTGTATAGATACAGATAGATATATAGTGGGTAGTTATAGACAAGTATATACGACACCACAATAGTACCTCACAGCGTAAATAAAAAAATATATCCTCACCTCGAACACCTCTCCCCCGCCAACCTCCACCCCACTCCCAACCCTTCCATAACCAACCTCTCCCTCTCCTCCCACGTCTCCCCGCTACCCTCCAGATCAACAATCGCCCCCTGCCCAGTCGTAGTCGGGTACTGACGCACCCCGCTAGAATCAAACCGCCAGCCATGTGCTTTCTTCGCGTACCGTCGCAGGTCCCGCTCAAATGTTGTGTCGCCTGTCCAGCCTAGCACGGCGCACCCGACTGTTCGCCACGGCGAGATGATGATGTCGACACGGCGGTGGATGTTGGGGTTGCGTTTGCGGCGTTGGCGTTGGCATTCCTCTTTGTCGGGGTTCTTATCGTCGTCGTTGTGATGGTCGTCGTCGAAGTGCGGGTCCTGCCACACGACGAGAGCCTTGTCGAGGTGGTCGAAATGGGAAGAAGAGGTTAAGCCGTCGCCGTGGGGCACAGGACGGGGTTGCTGATCGCGAGATGACGCCATCGTGTGCAGCGCAAGGGTATGCGTGATCCAGCCTTCTGCTTCGAGGCTAGCGACGACGTCGACGACGAGGTCCTGCGTTGTGGACTCGTCGGGATGGCTAAGGATGATATCCACATCGCCACTGGATTCCTTGCCTCGGCGATAACCGCCCACGACGATGCATTCGACGCCGCGGGCGTCATTTTCGGGGCTGCCTTCGGCGGATGGGCGTACGCGGTTGGCGTGTTGGCGGACCGTATGTGCGATTTCTTCGCTTTCAGTACGCGGGATGCCCGTTAGGAGCTCGTCGAAGAATTTCACGCCGATCTGCTGCACGCGGGACAGCGAGTCCCAGCCGTGTTCGACGATGTCGTCGAGGTCGCGCCATCCGCGCTTGTAGTAGAAGTCGCGGGCGGTTTTGGGCCCGACGCCCCAGATCTGGTTGAATGTGTGGAGGTCGCGCAGGGCTGGGTCCGTGGTGAGGGCGTCGGCTGCGGAGAGCGTGCCGTGTTCGCTTTGCTGGAACTCAGCGAAGAGGTGCGCGATCTTGGCCTCGCAGCCTGGGAGAGCTAGGATCTCTGAGCCCCTGCGGAAGCTGTACGGGTAGGCGGCTATGGCGGCGATGGACGTGCTGTAGGCGCGGACGCCGATCTCGTCGAGGGTTAGCTCGCGGATTGTGCGGATTTTGAGCAGCTGCGAGATGAACCGCTCGTTGGGCGGGTGGAGGGGCGCTGAGCGTAGGCATGCGTACATCACGCGCTCTTTGACCCAGGAGGGTGCGGGAGGGAGCGGTACGGCTTCCTCGTTCTCGGAGGTGGTCTGGCGGTATAGTTTGGGAGGGGGACGCTGCGACGATGGACTCGTGTCCATTGGGCGTCTGCCTGGAGGGGTTGAGACAATGGTGCCCGCTTTGGAAGCATCTTCTTTGGCTCTTTGCAGGATGCCCTTCACTGCGTTGACCGGGTCGGCGGGCTTCGCGCCCGGACGCTTAACCTTGACAGCTTGGTACACGACGAACGAGTCCACGGGGACCAACCGGCGCTCCTCCACGCAGCGGTTCAACCATTCGAGCTTTACGACTCGGAGACCATCGGCTCCCGATTCCGGACTGGAGTTTGACAACGGCGCTGGTCGCTTCAAATGACGGCCCGAATCATGGCGACTCCCCACACCGTCCGCTTCATCCTCCGTCTCCGTGCTGAGGTCAATGACCTCATCGGGCGCACGATCCTCGACTCGCGCACGCCCACCCTCCTCAACACGCCTCCGCTTCACAGCCGGATAATCTCGTGCCAGCCCAGCGGGCTCCTCCGTCCAGAGCCCCCGCGACCTCAATTCCAGCGCAGCGCGCTTCTTCTGGCTGATATTGCCGAGGAAGAGCTGCGCCTCGGCGACATTGTAGGTTAGCTGGGCGCCGCGCTGGGTGAGGTGCTCTTCGACTTCGTGAAGCTCATCCAAGCTGAGATGTGTTGGAAGGACGAATATTGGGGGACAGGATGAGAAGTCTGCGCTGTCTAGATCGTCGGGGTGGGTTTCGGTGGACATGGTAAGGGATTTGCCGCCATTGCAAGGGTTGGGGGAGGGCCCTGTTTGAAGATTCAGGTCAATTGGCGGAAATGAGAGTTCATTTTGGAGCAACATATAGGGAAGAAGTAAGAAAGCATGGTATATTCTTGGGTAAAAGCAGTGAGATCGTAAATGTATAGAACGAAGGGAGGGAAGAAGAAAGAAAATGAAGTCATCATTGTCGATCGTTTGGCTGGTTGAGATATTTCTTGGCACGCCCACTTCAGGTTCAATCAAAGAACCGACTGCCAGATCCGGGATATCAAATCCGAAGTATGCATTGGGCAAATTGAGACCATGGTGGGAAATGTACTTTGAATAAAAAGCTTGAGAAAAGAGGATCGATGCGCTATCCCCCATTTAGATCAATCTAGTTGTACAGTATATAAGAAAACACACGGGTATAACGGACAACCGCCAGACAGATGATTGGGAATGAAGCCTCCCTTCATCATCGCCTGTGTGTGTCCATGAGGTGAAATTATATGAAGGCAAAAAAACAGAGAAATGCAAATTGTCTGTCCTGACAGACCCCTACATCCCCACAAAGGCCATAGAGTTACAAATAGATGGCATGGCTCCAGGGAGGACAGCCCGACGCTAATTAAGTCCGAGACAAGACCACTATGACTTGATCAACCAGCCCACCGCGCCGCCAATGGCGATCACCATGATAGTAGTCAGGATCCATGCGCCCGCGCGGTCACCCGTGTTGATCGGATCCAGCTTGTTGGGATCGTCGTCTTTGCCCGAGTCGATTTGGTGTTCTTCCGCATCGGGGTTCGTGTCGATGGTGTTGGGGCTCTGGGACTCCATGATCATCAAGTTGGACGTGACCGCGCCCAGAGCGGCCATTTGGACTTCGAGGCCTTCGATGCCATCCCAGTTGGGCTGGTACCATCGGCTCCCGCAGAGGTTCTCCGACTTTCCGGAGCATTGTTTTCCCACGGCGACGACGGTGCCCTGGAGCTTGGGGATGATCTGCTCGGCGGTCTTGGGAGCGAGGATTGCCGTGAACGCCAGCCACATGGCTAGGTAGCCCTTGAAGCCGAGTTGATTTCGGTCACAGGTCATGATGGGTTCGCAGGCGACTTCGGACAGGATGTTGCCACCAAACTTTTGCGGGAAAAAGGTCTTCAGGGTGGACCCGAGCAGCCCGTCGACCCGCTTCTCCCACTTCGCATCGCCGTTGGTCTAGAGATGAGGTTAGCCGAGGGAACATTTTCCCGAGACTGCGGGGACGGGGGAGCACTGACGTAGTTGTACATGAACACCGCGCCGGTGAGGTAGGCACCGTAGTTGTAAGTCCACTGCGTCCGGCCGGCGTCTTTACAATTGGCCTCGTTCGAGGTCGAGTCCGCCACGAACCAGGTCTTCTCATTGATCAGAGGCGTTGTCACGGACCAGTCCCAGATCTTGTCGGCCCAGTCGGCGTACGTGTCGTTCTTGGTGAACCGGGCTAGTCGCGCAGACAGCTCGAAGAGCCCGCCGTTGGAGACCGAGTTCTTCATCGTGTATCCAGCCTGGTAGGGCCAGATCTGCCATCGAATTCCCCCATCGCAGGTGGTCTTGTCCCATCGGCCTACTTGCATGTTGAAAACGGCCCGAGCCAGCGACGTCCATGACGGCTTGCCGTCGATCCCCGGAAGCCCGGTCTCCGAAGCCGTGATGGCGGCCAATCCGAAGAACATTTGATCATCGTTACCCTAATCACCTCGATGAGCGTCCAAATCTTCCTACGGCGACAACGGGGGCAATGCTTACCAGCCATTGACTGTAGTTGGAGGAGAAATAATCGTGATTCTCCCCGGACTGGAACATTAAGTCGTGGGAGACGACCTTGTTGTATGAATCATCCTTGGAGGCGTGCCAGTATTGAATCAAGGTCATGAACATGCTCCCAGCAATATACCAAGTGTCAGTGAGTTTCCCAGGAATCCCTTCCGTCTGGTTGTCTTTGTAAAACTGCATCATGGGGTCGGCGATGGCCGTGCCGGCCTTCGTTAACGAATCTAACCAACATGGAATCTTAGCATCCCTGCCGGAATCCCTCGCCAGAGAGACGGGTGTGGCTAAATGATACCTTTACTGTTCACCTCGATGGTGATATCTGCCAGGGCCGCCTGCGCTTGCAACAGCAGCAGCGCGGCCCTGCAGAGGCGTCGCAGCCCCAAACCGCGCATTCCCCCTGCTTTTCTTGTATGACCGCGTTTCGTCAAGAGATATCGGTCGGTCGGTCCGGAAGGGCGTAGATAGATCGTAAACAATGTTCCAGTCGATGGAAGCGAAATCGGCGCCCGGACTGCGGGGAGGGGGGGGGGGCAAACCAAAGATCACCAAAGAAGAGGAAACAACGGCTAGAACGTATTCTGGGAAGGGGGGAAGAGATGAAAGGGGGATAGGGATCACAGTTTGGGAAGTAAATTGAAGTGACAATTACCGGCGAAAAGCCAAGCGGCCAAGGAGAACGCCAAGGCCTAGATCCAATCTGCTATTCGTTCTAGGGAGGGTCAAAGGGGGGCAAATTTGATTCGAATTGGTTTAGTCGGTCGTGGAAGAAACGACAATTCGCCAAGGACGGTCCCAATGGTCGCTGCCTGTTCCAAATTTATCTCCAGTCCCTTGATTATGTATGAGGAATGACAGGTCCAAAGGTAGAAGAAGAAGAGAGATGAATTATGAACCATCGTCACCTGGAGACTTGGGTCAACACCACAACGACATTCTTCTTCGAATTGCCCCGCATTCCTACCAGGATTCGTTCCCTAAGGATTTATACTGGGTAATCCTGCTGCATCCGGGTATCCCAGTCGTGAGCCCGTCCGCAGCCTAATCATCCTTCGTGGTGCATTTTCATCCTGCTGACGCCGATCCATCCGTATTGCCGGTTTTGTCTCTGGAGTGTTATTGGTGGACTGTCATTGCCTGCCATCCTTTGTGTTTTGATTTGTTGTTTTCTTTTCTTCACTAGTTAGTGTGGTTAATTAGCTCTGATTCTTCCTTTGATTGAGCATCTTGAGACGAGTCCGAAAGTGTTTCTTGACGAAGCGGGGAGAAATCCAGAAATCCAGAAATTCAGGAAATCCAGCGTGGGTCTTGGCTGACTCAATCACATGATCTGCTTTATAGATCCGATCGATCATCTACAGTCGATCAACACCCTGGACAGTGGACAGTGGACAGTGTAAGACTAGACCGAATTCAAACCGGTCAGATTCTGTCCTCTGAGACATCGATACATCTGCTGTACTGAATTACAGCCAACTCATCAGTTGGTCACGCCAACAAATCTCCAGTGTACAACTGCATTGTCTCACGGTGTGATGTCACACTCTCGGACGATCCGGATACACGCAGTATGCTAAAATCAGGTCATTCAAGTTGATTTCATTCTGTAGTACAGATTATATGCTGCTAACATTGTATATAATTCCCATTCACGGGCGGATACTACTAACATACAATGGGATACCAAGCCCAGTCCAATTATGTACTATACACCGTTGATCTTTCCTCCACGCGAAGCGCCAGCACCTAGAGGCCCTAGTCTATCCAAGATAGATCGATCGTAGGATGGAACGTCTGGTCATCTTCTTCCACCCACTGTACCATCCACCACCGTTAGCTTATTCTATACACCTCCCATTGAAAAAAGAAGGAACTGAAGGGGGAAAACTAACATGCTCCATATTCTTCTTGATCGGGAACGGGGGCTTCTCTTCCTTGGTCAGACGAGGCCAGTAGCGAAGTTTCCGCTGCTTCTTGCGCAGGATGAACGTGACCCGTTTGCTAGAGTCGTTGCTCCGTTTCGAATTGTCCACGTCGACCTCCTCCCAGAACTCGATCTTGTACAGGTGGTCCTTCTCGGCGGAGGAGCTGTCGCGGGTGTGGAATCTGATGGTGAGTTTCATGGGTTCCAGGTGGAATTTGGGGGCGCCGGCGGTGTTTTCTGGGAGGTTGAAGACGATCGCGACGATGTTCGCGTCGCTCCTTGTGACGGAGGAGCGCTGTGTCCAGAGGGCTGGATGGGGATGGGTTAGCTGGGGATATGTTTGTGGGGGGAAGATGGACACAATCCACCAGTTAAAAAATGACATACCTTGCATTTTGGAGAGTATATAAACTGTTGATTATCGGAGAAAGGATTGGTGTGAGAAGGACAATGCCTGTGGGTAATGGTGAAGAGGTCTTATAAGAAGCTCCAGGCTAGCTAGTCAACTTGACGTCACCACTAGATTAGAGACCCAGATACACACACCAAGGCATCATATCGCCACAGCGTCAGCCCATCATATACACAGGGTCAGAGTCTGCTTAGCTTAGTTCACTGCATAGGGTGGATTGTATAATGAGGACGCGTAGCACGTTGGATATAGTTGCATGTCCATCTCTATTGTATTCAGCTTCAATATATGGCGTTTCAACGTCTGATTCAAAGCTACTGGCTATTAATGTACGGAATTAAGTATGAAATTATAAAGTATTGAGTAGACCCGATTAAGTAGTTGGCGATAACTGGACAGCCTGTGGAAGAATGCTTGGGCAGAGGCGCCAGAAGATATACAGGATAGAAAAGCTCAAAAGACGAGATCAGTTTCTGATGTAAGTAAAAGTAGACAACGTCTACACAGTAACAGTTGAAATGTTAATCACATAATGTAGGGATCAACAGAATAATTGTAATTCACCTTGAATACTATATATTCTTTAACAGACTACGCCTAGGATTAAAATAACTGCTTGGCATGCAACCCAGTATTTTCTCGGACTGTTTAGGAACTCTATTGATCTCACGGAGTTACTTTTCGTAGCATGGCAATGAGGATCTCCCCTGGCACTGTTGTATTAACATGGTCTATCTGATCCTACCTATGTTGTATGATAATTGAATATCCTCACCAGGTTCCACGAAAGGTATACCTTTCCGCTTACTATGTCCATAGACAAAGAATATTTACTCTATCTATTAGTATATTTCAGACCAATTGATCTCAGAGGATAGACAGATGCATACGAAACATGACTTGACCGCATAAAGTCAAGTTCTAGGACTGATTTTCAAGAAATAATAATAGCAACCCTCAGTTCACCACCATTTTCTACGCTATAATTGTGCGCAGCATGCTAGTCGTACCCTAAACCCAGATAAGCCAATACAAGCAGGCGAACAGCAGTATAACACGTCTACTTGCCTCGGTACCTTGAAGATCAACCTGTCGAAAATTCTTCTAGAACCATGCTAATAGGCTGGATAAACATCTTAATCACAAATGCCGTCCACCCCTGCTACCCAGGAATATGGTAAGATACCTAACAGGATAGGACCCACTCTCGACCTACTAGGCCATCACCAATACGGCAGCGGTGAATCGGTGAATCCTGGGTAGATTAGATAGCGGGATTTGCATAAATTGCTTGTTGGCTTGTTATGAACCTGGTAGGGTTGTGAAAGAGACGAGAGAAATATTGAGGGAGGATCATCATCGTTTGCTTAGTTGATTGGGGAGACCTAGGGACAGCTACTTGGTATCTAAATAGTATAGTATCTGATGTATCTGTTGGCATAACTGTGTGCATGCCGAGTTAGGCATAAAAATCTAAAGTGATGTTGAAGATGACATGGTCGTTGAAGAAACTAAATATCAATCACAAGTTCTGCTACCATTACCAACAAAGTGAATCTCTAGAATTCTCAACGTAATCATTGATTCATCAGGTTTCCCTGCTGGTGTCTGTCTTGACCTCGGCGGTGGTGATCAGTAAGTTCCGATAACCTAGGGGCTAGTTTTACCTAAGAGCATGGTCAAACCCTTCAGAGCCTGTTGACATATAAGCAGATTCTTCATGAATATCGCACGAAGTTCGGGATAGCCAAGAAGATAGGTCGAGATCCACAGTCCAAAATCACAAATCATGACCAGGCACAAATAAAAAAATAGGGTAGGTCAATAGGGTTTTGCCTTGGCACCCGGCTACGTTCGAATCTCCGCCGCATCCCGCCTGGGTCAGGGTTCTCTGATTGACTTGGCGGGCCGCTTCATGGAAATAACTCGGCATCAACAGACAGAGAACACTTATGCTCTGGCTTGTAGCCTGGGTCCGCTTGGTAGGGGGATAGGAGCATAATTCAGGATTCCGGACTGACCACTCCATGGATAGCCGTATCCGGTGGTCCGAGATTCAAGAAAATGTGGGATTGGATTCTGACCCTGGTCCCGGCTTAATTTCTTGTTCTTCCTCAGACACACACAGCAGAGACTCTCTCCGTCCCCGAGGATGTGTGCCCGAGTGTGCTGGTTTATCTCTCGGAGTTTATGGAGCCGACCCACCTCTCCAAGATCCCGTCGGTCCAGATAAGCATGGAAGTGGTAAGTGGGAAGCGAGAGAAGGCGGGGTGCAGGCTCAGATAATTTCTCTTACCTAAGGGGGCTCGGTTAGCGAAGGCGTTATCAATTTCCCAGATTGCCATAGGTCAAGGGAGTGGGGATACATAAACAAAGACAAAAGACAAGCGGAATCTCCAGAGCCGTGCAGCATTGCTATCAGTGGGCGAGGAGTTTTAAAATCGCCCCCACCGGGTCAGCCCGAGGGGGGATACAGACGGTTGTTAGTAGAAAGGTGGGACTGGGAACCTTCGTGCTCGTCTGGGGAAAGAGGCTAGTCCTGACCAGCCCGTCCCTTTGCCACACTAAGACACCGGAGGGAATCCATGGTTCCCTTTCCTCCTCGGATTTCGTTTCGACCAGGATGAAAGTACCCGAGAAAAATTTGAGATCGGGTTGGTAGTAGGCCCGGATATGCAGGACGCATCCCAGGCCACATGGGCCGCGAGACTCTAAACTTAGTTACTGTAGTATCAGTTGAATTTGGAGGTTCTAGAAGGACTTCCAGGCTGCTGATAGCCTGATACGGGGGAAGATAAGAGAACGCCGGGATGTGATTGGGCGATGGTCATCGGGTAGATCTAACCCTAAACGAGTCACGGGGGTGCTGGCAGAGATAATCAATCGGGTACCATTCATCCTAGGTAGTTTATCTATGATTATCCATTCTATCGCCACATACCTTGTCTCCCGTTTCGGTCGGACCAGGCACCCTCGAACTGTGCCCTGTGTCAGACCACCTCACGTGGTCAAAAGTCTTGGAAAATAAGATGTGGGTAGGGGTCGGTTCGGGTGACAGGGGTGACAAGCAGGGTTCAACCGTCACTCCAGGCTACTCCTCATGACCACAGCACATTAGCGCTTGGACCTGATCCAAGTCCTCTCCGCGACCCGCTCGCTTTGCTTCGGATATGTTTCGGCTGCATACAGTAGGATCGTCTCTCTTAATTCAAGGATACTGAGAATAATAAGGAATCAAAGATACTAGTAATAATCATAATATGGTACCCGAAACCGGTATTTGATCAGCCACGTTTCCCCATATTCCCCCCATTGTGATCTTCGCAGAGATTCGCTGTGGTCCGTCGGAGGGTCAGACCAATTTCCACCTCGTTTTTGACCGTTTCTGTGACTAATGGGAAACCCCAGGTCGGATTGTACAGGTGCTTAACTCGACTGTTTTTGGTTTCCCGTCCGTGTTTTCTTCCCCGGAGTGGAGACCGAGTCCGGTGTGGAGTCGGATGCTGATTGGGTGGATAACGTGCCAAGACCATCCGCCTCCCAACTGTTTTCTTGGCATCATCCATTCCTGCCTCTCTTGCTCCTTCTCCTCCTCTCCCCACGCGAGAAATAAGAAAAATGAATTAGAGATCCCTGTCACAGTTTTAGTGCAGCGTGGGATTGCTACCGACCGACCTTAGTTTACGGCTACCACCCTACGTGCTTGGGTCCCTCGCACGCCATCCAATCAGGCTGTTTGACCGTCTCGTTTCTTTGACTGGTTTGAGCTGTTGCTTCGACTTTAGTCTGGGAGAGTATACTAACCTTAGATGGAAATAAAATAATGTAATATTTAAAATATATTAAGGAATTGATTGAAATGGAAACGAGAAAGGAAATTAGAACGAAAAGGATTAATCAACGACAAATAGAGCAACCAGACAAATAACAGAGCATAATGAGAATAATCCTCCAGACTAGCGCTGGCGACCCTGCTTATCAGCCCGCCAGCTTGCACAGCATCCGGACGGACGAGGCCTCGGCTTCCCCCGTCAGCTCCTCTTTTACTCTTTTAAATTCTCTCTCGCATCCTTCTTCTTTTTAACCTTTTCCCTTCCCCCTCCCCCGCCTCACTTCTCTTCTACTTTATTCCTCCTTCTCTACCTCCCTTCTCTCCCTCCCTCTCTCTACATCTCCCGATCTTGGCTTAGGGCTTTGTGTACACAATTCCCTTCCACTAGCCACGCGTGTCGATCTATTCCCAAACAGAGAGTATCCAACGGGATTTTCAACATGGGAGTCCTGGGCGAGAAGGATGACTTCTCGACGGGCATGCCCGTCGGGAAAGTCTCATCGCGCGAAATCAGTCAGGCCGAAGAAGGTGTGCTGGCTTCGGAGCAAGACTCGGAGCTCCATCGCGCCCTCAAAGCTCGTCACATTACTATGATTGGTATGCTTCCCCGGGAGAATCGACAAGGCTGGTGGACTAACAAGCGCAATAGCTATTGGTGGTGCGATTGGTACAGGTCTGCTTATTGGAACGGGAGAGGCACTTGCGAAGTAAGTTTGGAATACTCGTTCTCAATGAAAGTTATAGAGGGCAAAGTACTAACGGATTTACCTTAGGGCTGGCGTAAGTGATTTCCACCATCGGAGAAACAGTGAAAGATAGAAGAGAAAAAGAAAAAGAAAAAGAAAACTAACTCATTTACAGCCCGCAGCTATTCTCATCTCATACTCGTTTGTCGGTTTCATCGTCTATCTGGTCATGTGCGGTCTCGGAGAGATGGCTTCCTGGTTACCTCTTCCCTCTGGTTTCACTGGTTATGCCATTCGCTTCTGTGACCCGGCCTTGGGTTTCGCCATGGGTTGGACGTGCGTGCCCCATACTTCCCCTGACAGCAAATTGCTTGCACTCGCTAACAAAGTCGGTGATGCAGATACTGGTTCAAATATATCATCATCACACCAAATCAGTTAACAGCCGGCGCAATGGTCATCCAGTACTGGATCGACGCAGACCGGGTCAATCCCGGAGTCTGGATCACCGTCTTTCTCGTGCTGATCATCGCCATCAACTACTTCGGTGTCAGTTTCTTTGGCGAATTCGAGTTTTGGCTGTCTTCCTTCAAAATCGTCGTCATCTGCGGCCTGATCCTGCTGTCCTTCATCCTCATGCTGGGCGGCGGTCCCGACCACGACCGCAAAGGATTCCGCTACTGGAAGGAACCCGGCGCCTTCAACACATACATCCAGCATGAAAACAAGGCCGCCGGGCGATTCTATGCCTTCTGGGCCACCATGGTGTCGGCGACCTTCGCTTACCTGGGTACCGAACTGGTCGGTGTGACCGTCGGCGAGGCCCAGAACCCGCGCCGCACCATCCCCCGTGCGATCAAGTTGACCTTCTACCGCATTGTCTTCTTCTACGTGATCAGCGTCCTGCTCGTTGGCACCCTCGTCCCCTACGACTCGAAGGACCTGGCCTTCGCCAAGGAGCAGAACACCGGCGCCTCCGCCTCGCCCTTCGTGGTCGCCATCAAGCTCGCTGGCATCCCCGCCCTCCCCCACATCCTCAACGCCTGCATCCTCGTCTTCGTCTTCTCCGCCGCCAACTCCGATCTCTACATCGCCACGCGCACCATCTACGGCCTCGCCAAAGAAGGCAAAGCGCCCCGGATCCTCGCGCGCACCGACCGCCGCGGCGTGCCCGTCTACGCGCTCATCCTCTGCGCCCTCTTCGCCTGCCTCGCCTACATGAACGTCTCCAGCGACTCCAAGGAAGTCTTCGGCTACTTCGTCGACCTAGTCACCATCTTCGGTCTCCTAACCTGGATCTCCCTCCTCGTCACCCACATCTACTTCGTGCGCGCGCGCAAAGCCCAACAAGTCCCCGAGTCCGACCTCGCCTACAAGGCCCCCTTCGGCATTGCCGGCTCCTACGGCGCCCTCGCCTTCTGCATCCTCATCTCCTTCACCAAGAGCTACGACTGCTTCACCCGCAACGAGGACTGGGGCACCTTCGACTACAAGACCTTCATCACCGCCTACCTCGGCATCCCGCTCTATCTCATCCTCATCTTCGGCTACAAGATCGCGACCCGCTGCAAGGGCGTCATCCCCCACGAGGCGGACCTCTGGACCGGAAAGGATATCATCGACCGCGAGGAGGCCGAGTATCTGGCCCGTAAGGCGGAGCACGAGGAGCAACACGGCAATGCGAGCTGGTTCTATCGTGTCTTTGTTTCGTGGCTATTCTAGAATTGTATTTTCGATAGTACTTATTTACTTCATATATTTTTTTGATGACATGTTGAATGGTTATGATTTTATATTTCTTGTCCTCCTTCTTCTTTCTTTTCTAGTCTTTCAAGTATCTGTATATTAGGGTGTACATGTATAGCAAGCCACGACTTGATCTTTTGAGGGTGACTGAAAGATAGGCACGTGAGTAACCCTAACTTAGCCTGACCGACGGAGGTGTGTGTAAAGATCAAGAGTGTTATAAACCAAAACAGATCAAATCAACAAACCCTATCAACCACAGCCAAGTAAAAAGTCTACAAGTGCACAACCACGAGGGTATCACAGAGTAGAAAAAAAAAAATTCATATTCCCCTAGTCTGCAACATCCAAATCAATCCCAAGCAGAACGGAAAACGAAACTTGAACCCTAGTCGCTAGATACCAGGCCCCTACCTATCAAAAATAGCAAGCAATACGCAATTTCAGTGAAGATAATAGAGAGGAAGGAAAAGCGACGAAAAAATAATATCATTAGTCGTTCAGTCATTATTGAGATATCGATCAATCACAATCACTCTTATAGCATATAGACATCCGGAACGCCCAAAAACGCAAGGTATGAATAAGAGGGTGGACAGAGAAAGATAGGGTTTATCGACGGAAGTTTAGCGACGTCGGCGGAGTTCATAGGATTGTTCTTCGTCTTCGTCGTCTTCATCTTCGATCATCTCCCATTCCTCTTCGAAGTCCTCTTCTTCCGCTTCGAAGTCCTCTTCTTCCGCTTCGCCGCCCGCAAAGTTGGGCTCGTGGGATGGCGATGATGTAGTGTCAACATCGTAGAAGAGGTCTGCGTCCCAGTCGATGGGATCGCTGTCCCCCGCAACGCCCGCCGTCCTGGTACTGCTGCTATTGCCAATAACGAAGAATTGACCAAACCTGACCGCCACGTTGAAGATCTCTTTCCCCGTCGGGATGATGTGCTCCGACGGGAGGAGAAAGCCGTAGCTGCCGCGGTCGCGAAGCTTGATCTGGTACGAGTAGACCGCGTGCAGCTGGTTGTAGAACCAGTCCAGTGCGCTGCCGCCGGAGCTGCCCCCGACGGGGAAGAAGCGCTCCCCGCGGGGAGCGAACTGCTTCGCGGGCGTGACGGTGCCTTCGCAGGCGGAGGTAACGTCGTAGCTTTCGCGCGTGGTCTGTCGGATGATTTTGGCGAGGCCGATGCCAAGCTCTTCGAGGCTTTCGAGGGTTGGGGGCACTGATGAGCAGGAGTAGGAGTAGGGGTAGAGGATCTGCTGCGAGTAGGAGTGGAGGTCGAGGAAGCCGACGATGTCGGCGTTGTTGTTGTGTGTTTCGTTTAATGCCCACCGTGCGAGCTGGTCGGCTTCGACGCCGTCGAAGGGCTCGTCGCCTGCGTAGTCCTCTGCGCAGGGGTTGGAGCGCGTGCGTTCGCCGTCCCATTCGAAGCTCCAGGAGCGGTCGAGGTCGACGCCTGGGCAGAATCGTAGGCTTGTGCGTTGTCGATTCTTGCGCCACAATCGGTCGACTTCCCAGCTGTAGACGTACCCATCTGGGTTGAGTGTCGGTATAAAGACCCAGTCGAGGTCTTCCAGCAGGCGTGTGACGGCTTTGGACTTGCCGTACTTGGTGATCAGGTTGTAGGCGACGAATTTCACAGTCGACGTGCTGATCCACTCGCGCGCGTGGGTGCCCCCCACGACGACGACCGTCTTGCGGGGTGCCGTGGGGTTGCGGGCGTCGTTAACGCCGAGCCGAAGCGCGGGGATCTCGCGGCCCTCGGCCGACACCCCCACGCTGATCATACGGACGTGCGATGTGAACATGGAGGCCATCAAGCGCATCCACGGAACGATGACCGCTAATGGTTGGTAGTTGCGGAACAGAATATCCCCTGCCTGCGCGGATTGCTGAGGGGAGGGACCGAATTTCGGGTGACCTTCTAACCCGATGGGACGACGGGTCGGGTAGGACGAGTAGATCATGTCGGCAACGTTATCGATAAGGGGGGTATAGGCGGTTCGAAGGCTATCGGGGAGAAGGCCTAGCAGTGAAGGAATCTGTGAACGCACACGATCAGTCTGAGTCACTTGACGAACCGGGGCCCTGCTAGTTGACATACGACTTCCTCGGCCAGCCTGATGTCTACAAATTCCGACGTCGATGCCCATACATCCAAGAACAGAATATCCGTTGCCTGGGCCAGCGCCGCGGCCTCCTTGTTATCGCGCAGGTTAAAGCGGAGGACGACATCGCTGCCGTACCGGGCCAGCGTTCGAGATGGCGGAGAGCCATCATAGGACCGGTCGTTGGACGAGCCATGGGAAGATGACTTGGGGATGCCCCATATGCTCTCAATGACCCAATCTCGGACGCGAATCCATGGCCGTTTGCGATCGGAGGGATGAGACGATAGGACTTGAATGGGCTCGACGGGCGGCGGGGGCGTGATACTGGAGCCTGCGGGGACCGCGCCTACCAGGGCAACTAGTGCAACCAGTAGGAGAATCAGGAGAGGACGCATTTTCGGCGAAGATAGGGATGGAATACACCCCCTAAATCATCGTCCTTAGAGGGGTGAGAATAAGATGAGATATTGCAGAATCCAAGCCTGTCAGGGATTCGGAGGGATGTCGGAGGAATGATGGAATGATGGAATGATGGAATGATGGAATGATATCTTGGAAGAGGGCTGGGAGGGAGCCTCAGGCCGCAGTCGAGCTGACTGGGCGCTGGGTGGATTGGCGGGCCCTGATTGGTCGGTTGGTCAGCAGACAGCTGCCTCAGGCATAAGGGCCTCCAGCATTAGGCATCCACATTTCGACCGCAATGAAAGGAGATCATCACTCCGGTCGATGGGGGTGTGTTACGGTCACATCTAGGATGTATCAAATGGTTGGAGATTTATATTCCAGATTCAAGAGGTGGAGCAGTCACACTTGCTTTTCAACGGTTAGGTACCTTAGTTAATGTCTCGAGTCTAACGCATTACTTCCAAATGTACCCAGGCCGCGTGGGCTATTAATATAGACATCTAGCGATTCTCCGACTCGGGTGCGACGTAGCTGAGGTGGCTCGAGGGATTCAGATCAACATAGAGATGTCTCAACGGCTCTGCAAACTGCCGATGGTGACCCACACGAGTGTTTTGAAAGATAACCTGTCGGTGGTTAATTATATTTTGACTACCCAATTCCCTCGTATCAGAATGTCGCGGCTGTGGCTATCTCTATGGACAAATCAGAAGGTGAGGAAAAGAACCTCTCTGTAAGTCATTGCATGTACCGGCCAGATATCGTCTCCACCGTCCCCACCCAAGACCCCGATAAAGTTTCGGGCCATTCTTAGTCGGTTTTACATGCTTAGATAGCAAGTCTCACGAGTCATGACCGTTGGCCCTAGAGACAACGGTTAATCAATACGCAGACCATTAAAGTAGGGTTTAAGCTACCGTCAACCTGAGAGGGATACATGGTTGTCCAGCTGTGGAAGACCAGCTAAAGTCTGGCCCACGGCTGAGTGGGGTTCCGTCCACGTAATCCTGGACATCGTCCAATGGTCTCGTAATGTGGATGTTTTTTTTACTAACATCAGACGGTAGAACAGCCGTATGGAATATCTGAGTGAGCACCTTCTTTCTCAGATGTTGGTTAGATTGGAAGAAGATATATAATCGTCGATCCATTGGTGTAGTGGTGCTGTCAGACATAGGGTGGTCAATGTTGAAGATTCCACCGCGGGGAGACGAAATGACATCAGCATGCAATCTTGCAGGGAATCCCACAAGAACACTTCATACGTAAAAACTTTAAATTATGATATTCTGGTAGAATCCGAGTAAAAAACTAGCAGGGTTAGTAACGTAACAGTAGGGATTGATAGCTCGGGGTAAGGTTAAAGACAGAAACACGCCATGAGATGCACACTTGTAGGTAATTTCGATGTGAGAGCTCCAATCGGATCCTAGACAGGGCGATCCTCGACCGATACATCCTCGTGGGAGAATTGAAGATCCTAATTGAAAGGATAACGTCAGAGAAGACAGAGATAAAGCAGTAGAAAAAGAAAAAGAAGAGAAGAAGTCGTAGAGGAAGAGAAGTAGAAGAGCCACACGTGCCCAGGATTCAACCCAACCAAACCAGGCAAACCAACCAAACCTCCAGGCCTCAGGCCTCTCGACTCTCCACTTTCTCTCATTCTCTCCCTCGCTTTCTGCTTCATCATCTTCATCTTCATCTCTAGTTCATCCCTCCCTTTCCTCCCCCCACTCGAATGTTTCTTTCTGACTGATTCTCTGGAAACCATTGTTACTCCACCCTTCCCTTAGTGCTTTCTCAGCCTCGTCTCGGCTTTCTAGCTCCCGTCCCACCTGGGTGGTCTTCCCCAGCAAAAAAATATACACCCCCTACCCCTCCCCTCCTTGCGCTTCTCCCCCCTCTTGGGCATTATTAGGACGGTACGCTGTGTCTAACTCACAGGCTTATCATTGTGATTGTGTCGCTTGGACCACTCGTTTGTCGTTGAAGAATCGAATCTGGATTATTGGGCAATGTCAGAGTTCGGTCCTATGTAACCACGACGTTCCGCCTAGACTCCCGAGGACTCGTTGATGATCGACTCCCTCCCTGCCCCTTTTTTACCTCTCTGTTCCTCATCCACCGATCAATGCGCCTGCGCCACGTGCTTTCTGCTCGTCTGCCCTCCCCTGTCAACCTGGTCGCAATGTTCATCGGCTGCGCTTGAAGCTGACGCACGCAATCCTACCCCTGGAACCTGTCACTCTCCCGCTCCCTTGGTCGCATTGACCCCCTCCCTCCAGTCTCGCGCGGCTGCCGTTCAACGACCCCCCACCAGAACCAACGGTCAATTGAACATCTTCGATCGGATGGGTGTCTCGATCCGATTGTTCTGCAAGCTCCCTTAAGCCTCTGGCCCCGGCTTTTTCGCCGCCATGCATTGGAAAGGATTACGGATCAGTTCGTCGGACGGCAACGATTCCAAGAGACGGAGCATTGTTGAACCGCAATCCAATTTCCGCTATAGCGAACATTTGCCTCGTCCGACCCTCTCAACCACCCACCTGCCCTCTCGTCGTTCTGAATCCGCTTCCCGATCCCCTCCTCAGGCCGAACCCGAGCACACCGACCGCCCGCAGTCCAACAGTGACCCGCATGACGGCTCCGAAAACATAATCACCAAGACCCAGAGCCCCGGTGCTGGGTTGTCAGCGACAGATGGTTCCAACGTGCGCAGGAACCGTTTCAGCTTTTTCAGACTACGTCACGCATCCGATCCGCAGTTATCCAAATCATACGCCAAGGCGGAAGAAGACATCCCCCCAGTGCCATCCCTACCGCCGCGTTGGTCTACCCCCTTGATGCCCCTGGGGTCTCTCCTCTGTTCTCCACGTGACCGCTGGCTAATCTGTACATCTGCTTGAGATAGCGACGATCATCACTACCGCCCCGACGAGTCATGATCTGGACCAACCCACCAAGCGCCGGCCGAAATTTAGTCCCATCCCGGAACATAAAAAGTCCCCCGCTGAGGCACCGTCGAGTCCAACTCCAATGTCCGCCCATACCCCCCACGATTCGATTGTATCCCAGTCCGCAGACCCCGCCCTGTCAGCATCCGCCAGTAACGGCGAAGAGGCAGGGCGCCTATCCACGACTTCCATCAGAAGCAGTCCCCGGGAACAGCACAACGACTCGTATCGCTCTTCAGTCGCCGATCCCAGGTTTTCCGAGTCCTCCCGCTCGGATCAAAGTTTAGGGGATCGGGGCATGTCCCGGAGCTACTCGCCGCGGGAGAATCCCCTGGACAGCTTGGCCGGGGGGAAACGATTCCGCCTCCCCCGCTGGAAACGCAATCGGGGCCCCCTCTTCCCTCTTCCCCCACGACCAACCGGGCCGCCCTCGGATGGCGCTGTTCCGAAATCGGCCGTGATGGACTACGCGTCGAAACGGGGTCTCCCGGAGAGTCCGGATGGGGATCACATATCGCCCCTCCACTCCCCCGCCCGCTCGTCGGCGGGCCTGGCCTCCTCACGGCCACCCCTGCTGCGACAGGACTCGGCCAACTCCAACAATTCGGCTCGCTCAACTCCGTCGACTCGCAGTCGCAAGACCAAGACGCGGGCGCGGTCGTCGACATTGGATTCGCTAGCCAACGTGCGGGAACACGAGCACCAGTCCTCCCCTCACCTCACTTCCTCCGGACGGACTTCTACGTCGACTAGCGGCCGGAAAAGCTTTGGTGAGTTTTTGGGCATCTCGCAGCGCTTTGCGCCGTCGCCCACCACGAGGAGCCCTGGAACGCCCAAGTCGTCGATGCCATCGTATCCGGAACGAGAAGAGGGCGACACGCCGGGTACGTATCTGGCTCGGCTAGAAGAGCAGCTCCCGCGGAACACGATCGCAAATATTCTGTCCCAATTCAATGACGAATTCTTCACAACGGCGCTACGAAAATTTATGCGTGGATTCTCTTTCTTCCAAGACCCCATCGACATGGCCATCCGCAAGCTGCTGATGGAAGTGGAGCTGCCCAAGGAAACCCAGCAGATTGACCGGTTCCTTCAGAGCTTTGCAGATCGTTATCACGAATGCAATCCGGGAATATTTGCCTCGCCCGATCAAGCATACTTCATCGCTTTTTCCATTCTGATCCTTCATACCGACGTCTTCAACAAAAACAACAAGCGCAAAATGCAGAAGCCGGACTATGTGAAGAATACCCGCGGCGAAGGGATTGCGGATGAAATCCTCGAGTGTTTCTATGAAAACATCTCCTACACGCCGTTTATTCGCATCGAGGATGCCAACACCAATGGGCGCCAATTGACCAGACCGCGGCGTGGCTTGCTGAAGACGGCGAGTTCCGACCATCTCTCTCGCGCGTCCAGGGAGCCGGTCGATCCATATACATTGATCATGGATGGGAAACTGGATCACCTGCGCCCCAGTCTTAAGGACGTGATGAACCTGGACGATACCTATAGCTGTGAGGGAACTGCGGGACCCGCCAATGTAGATGATCTCCATCGTGTGTTCGCCAAATCTGGAATCCTGCAGATCTTGTCGCCGCGGTCGAGGCCGGATGCCTTCATGCCCGCCAGCATTGACAACCCGGCGGACTCCAACCCGGGGTTGGTGGACATCAAGGTGGCCAAGGTCGGGCTGTTGTGGAGGAAGGATCCGAAGAAAAAGCGAGCCCGGTCCCCATGGCAAGAATGGGGCGCTCTTCTCACTCTCTCGCAGTTGTATTTCTTCCGCGACGTGAATTGGGTGAAATCCTTGATGGCGCAGCACGAGCAACACCAGGATGAGGGCCGCCGCCGAGCAGTAGTCTTTCGGCCGCCTCTGACCGAGTTTAAACCCGACAGCATCATGTCGACTGACGACGCGGTGGCGTTGCTGGATACGGGCTACAAAAAGCACAAGCATGCCTTTGTTTTGGTGCGCCACAACGCACTGGAAGAAGTTTTCCTGGCCAACAGTGAAGGGGATATGAATGACTGGCTGGCGAAGGTCAACTATGCGGCGACCTTTCGCACCACGGGGGTGCGGACCAAGGCAATGATTGCCACCAATTATGACGCCCAGCGGAACCGAATGAGCCGCCCGAGCTCCGCCGTGTCTGGCAGCACGCATCGGTCGATGGATAAGGAACCCCCCTCGCCAAACCCCGGGGCCGATATGCCCCAGGATATGGCGCTGGCGCGTCGGGAACTGATGCAGCAGAAGATCCGCGAGGCCAATGAACAACTCTTCGTGGGGCAAAGGCAGCTGGACGATCTTCTCCGAAATGCCCGGCACTTGCAGGTCTTGACGCCGGTGAACTCCCGAGCGAGGGAAAACGTGATCATGGCCGCCGGCCGAATGGCGGCGAAACTAAAATGGGTGCGACAGGACATCTGGCGCACCAAGTGCTACCGGGAAGTGCTCGTTCGAGACTTGGGGAAAGATCCGGTCGAAGCTCAGTCCGCTGGGGAGCTGCCACATCTTCAGATCCCAATCGCCCACCCTTCCTCTGCTGGATCCGACGGGTCTCAGGTCGAGAAGCCGGCTTCCCCGGTCGTAGAAACTCGCCCCGCGGCTGACGCACCGCCCGCCCAGGACCTTGTCTCGCAACCGGCCGCCTTGGAACCACGAAGGCCCAGTATCCCTACGTCCATCACTTCAGACCTTGGCCTCCACGTCGGTCGACGGTTGTCTGTGGAAACCCCTAAGGAGCGCGCCAATTCCACCTCTCCGCCGCGGCCCTATGGCTTGGAACGCGATGCCTCTGTGGCAAGCAGAATGGACGCTGCCAGCCTGGGTTCTCGGACTTCCAAGATTACAGGAAGCGTGGACGACGGCGAGGAGCGCCTGCTGCGCGATGCAGGGCTACTGGACGTGAACAGCCCACCCCCGGTACGTCGGCAGTCGCTGGTCCGGTCTGATGGCGACTCGAAACCGGAGGATGGGCCGGATGGTGCCCAAGGTGAACAAGCGGGCCGGATCCGCCGCAGTTTGCACCGGACGCTTCGGGACACCCCCGGTGGACACCATGGTCATTATATCCGGAGCAAGAAGTCCCGCGAGTCGGCGACGTCAAGCATGGCCACCGCCGAAGAAGGGCCCGGAACCAGCGAAGGCGAGGGTCTCTCGCGCAAGTCAGCCAGTTTCACGGTCCACGGAAAGAAGGCGTCGGTTGTGACATTCGGCTCCGAGTGGCAGAACATTCCACCGGAGGAGCGTCTGAAACTGCGCAAGCCTACCCCATCGGATGAGCCACGAATTTCCGAACAGCTCGTTTCCAGCAGAGCCGGGTCAATTGTGTCGGAGGGGAATCAATCCGACTATCCGCAATCGCAGCGGACCGCGAGTACGGCCACGCGAAGGAGTGTGTATCGGCCGGAAGTGGCGGCGGAATCAATTGACGCCGTTGGCCGACTATATCCCGAAGACACGAAGGCCGAGAACGACGATGCCATCGGACATGATTGTAGGGTTTCTGAGATACATGGCGATCATGTTACTGGGGACGCCAAATCCCAGCAGATGCCCCCTCGCTCACCGAAGCAGGCAATCAATGTATGATGAAAGATCCCGGCCACGGGTACTTGAATTTGTTGATCATGAACTTTATACCCCTTCTTTTTGTATTGATTTTGTTGCGTCTTTGGTGGGTTTCTTTAAATTCATCGTTCTTTTCTTTGGTACCGTGCAATACACATAGGCTAGCGACTCGGAGATTCGTACGTGGTGTCCCACTGCATCAGCGTTTGGTCAAGCTTTGACCTAGATTTAGAGATGTCTGTTTTGCCATGAGTCCGGAATGAATGGTTAGATTTGGTCGCTCTTTGTTGTTTCCTATTTGTTTCAGTGCCAGGGCCCTATGTATTTGGTCCGCCAGACATTGTGATGACGCTCGTTAAAAGCTAGAGGATTTGTTTGAGTCATGGGAGGCTTTGTCTTTTGATTGATTTGAGATACCAGTGTTCTGATCTGGACTTAGGCGCGGTAGAATGGTGATCAGGGTTCAATTGAGACTGACCGTCCAACATATCCCCTATGATCTGATTGAATCCTTGATTTTCTGTGTAGACTGTATTCCGCTTAGTTTTTCCAGGTGTATTGTATGCCATGTTGTAGGCTTTCTTTTTGGCCAACGCCGAGAAGATCAGTTCACGCTGTCATGTCTTCTACTTTTACCTGGCTTAGTCGTCGCGGTTGTTCCAGTGCCCGTTCTCATATCACTTCGAGCCCTCTTGGTCTGCCTGAAACTATTCTCGCTTCTTGTTGGCGTGTTCCTGCTTACAGTCTATTTCTCTACTCTGTTATCCATGATCTTCTATCTTGTCCATTTACTCAACACCTGATCCTGTACTCATCTACGAGTAGTAAAGTGTATGTCTTCTGTCCCTTACCTTTGCTTTGATCACGTTTATTAGTTTACTCCATATGTTTTGACGGTCCAGTGCTGACAAGAAACAGTATGGCCCCGCAGAAACTGTTAGGTCTCGTCCCATCACGTGAGTGCATCTATACAACATCCACCCAAGTGAAAACACGCACAAGCACGTAACATGGAAATCTAACCTCTTTTTGATAACAGAGAAGCTGCAGCAATGGTCCACTCCAGCACAGATACCATCTCTGCCTACCTCCAAAGGGCCTCGGTGCAAAGTGACCACATTCACCTTCACTCAGCCAGATGAACCCTTCCGGGGCTCCAGCACAGCGACAGTCGACGGAATCAACAATGACGAGGACGAGGATGAGGACGAGGACGATGAATTCGACGATTACTCAACCAGTCTCCTCTACTACGAAGGCTCTTTCTACACCAAATACATCAGTCCCACCCTAGGCACCGGCCTCTTCATCGACGAAGCCATTCCAGCAGGCAGCGCCATCGTCGCCGAACGCGTCCTCTGGATCAGCGAGGCCGAACAAGACACCTGCACGACCACAGCAGACGCCACGCTCCTCCTCACCCGCAAGCTCGAAGCCATGGGCAAAAAATGGACCGCCCGCTTCATCGCCCTGTCCCAAGACTCCGACCGCAACAGCGACAACAGCGGCAACGCCCTCGGCGAGATCTGGGACACCCACAACATCTCCACAGTCTGGAACTCCAAACGCGGCGCCATCCTAGGCCCCAACCTCGCCTGGATCAACCACTCCTGCATCCCCAACTGCACCCTCACCATAACCCACCGCTACCCATGCGGAAAAGACGGCCGACGCAAGCCCCACGCCAAGCCCCTCATAGGCCGCGCCATCCTCCGCGCAGCGAAAGACATTCCACGCGGTGCGGAGCTCACAATCGGGTACTTCCATCCGGCAGGCTGCGTCGCCTTCCGCGGCATAAACTGCTACCTGCGGTTCGGGTTCCACTGCGCCTGCCACTGCTGCACGCAGCTGCACTCCGAGCTGGAAGAAACCCTAGAGGGCACCCACCGGCTCGGACTGCTCCTGCAGACGCCCGACCTCGTCACAACCTGGCCGGCTGGCTTCTTCCAAGTCGCCCACGACCTCGAGTACTGCATCGCGAGCGTCACACCCTACGATATCCGGCTTGCCCTGACGTGGGCTAAGTGCGCCCTTGTCGCGGGCTACCACTCTGACTTGGCGCGCGCGATCTGCTTCCTCCGGAAGGCGAGACGGCTGGCTATGCTGATTGAGGGCCCCGTGGGTAAGTTCTATGATCAGCTGATGAGGTGGAGTCAGTCTCCTGAGCTGATGCCTGGGTTTGGCGCTTCCACTCGCGGGTTGTCTTCTTTTGCGGAGTCTGATGCGGTTGTTGATGATGGCGTCGAAGATGAGAATGTTCTCTACATGACTGACGCGAAGAGTCTATCGGAGTATATCCGCGTGTCGCAGTACGAGCGGATCCAGACGAAGGGGGCCGACGATGACGACAAAGAAGAGGAGGAGGAGCAGGACGATGGAAAGAAGAAGCACACCCATCGTCCCAAGTGGAGAATCCTACCTGGAGTCGACGACGGAAAGGCGGGAAAGAAACATCGATCGAGACAGCCCGTGAACATGGTTCTGCGCCTGAAGAGGAAGCTCTTCCGCGAACGATGCGACAGCGAAAATATGCAGATGGAGTTTCTGGATTCGTACTTGCTGACCGTGGTTGGTGTTCTCAAGGATTCGCCGGATCTGAAGCGCTCGTTGGGGAGGAAGAAGGGGATGGGTGAGGCGTAGGGGGTGATTCGGGTGTTGCTTGATTGATGGATATGACAGACATGGGTATGATGGGAGATTGATATGATGGGAGGTGAATGTGATGGCTGGTGGATGTGGATATGTTTGATTATGAGGAGTCCTAAAGTTTGCGTTGGCGAGGGAATCTCGACAGAATGTGGACTCTTGGTGGGATCTATTTAGTTCGTGGCGGTATCCTCCTATCTGGACGAGTGGTTGTACTAGTGCAGCCATACGATAGTTTAAAGCAGACTGACTTTAAATGAGACACTTCTAGCTGTGAACCGTTATGTCTACACTCGATGTGACCACATGGCCATATCCACGTGGGCTCGTCTGTGGTGTATACGCACGTTAGTAAAGTCTACTCCATAGCAGAAGCATGGAAATAATCATCATAACCATGAGTTATGGAATGGCGACATCCTGCCTAGCCCAAGAGAGAGGAGGGACAGGCCGAGATAAACTAATTACATAGAAAATCTCACCCACAGAAACAAATTGCCTCACGAGAAAAGGATCCACCAAGGGAAATGAAACCAAGCCAGAGAACCCCCAGCCACAGATATCAACCTCAGAGCTATCAAACTCATCCAAGAGCCGACCTGACTGCAGAAAGGAAACCGTTATTGGCGTAGGACTGACTTGCGTCCCACAACATAACCCCCCCGAAACTCGAAAACTGCTTCCCATAGCGAACAGCCTGCCCAAGCACGCCAGCAGAGACATACCCCGAGCCAGCAGCCCCCGTATTAGCCGGTGCTCCAATCAAGACCTTGACGTTCTCGTTGCGCGAAGTCGTGCGCGCCCACTCGTCCCAGGTTGCCAAGTTGAAGGTGGGCTGGGAGCTTGAGCCAGCCACGTACGACTGTAGCCCACAGTAGTTATTGTAGAACTGGACCCAGATGGCGTCGAAGTAGGTCGCGCCGTTCAGCATGGCCCCGTTTGCGGCATCGGGGTAGGGACACTGAGGCGCGGCCGTCAGGAAGTACTGTTTGCCGCCATTCTGGTACAGGGCGCGGAGGCGGTTGGCGAAGGCTGGCATGTTGTTGACGGTTGCCTCAAAGTCTAGGTCGAATCCGTCGACGACGGCGTTGCCGAAGGGGCGCAGGGCGTTGTTGTTGGCTGGTCCGAAGGTGTTCCAGATGAGCTGGGCGCCGGATTCGGCTGCTGCTGCGCTGGAGAATCCGCCTTCGGTGTAGGTGGCGCCGCCGATGGAGAGGAGGATGGCTTTACCCTTGGACTGGCAGTATTTGATGTCTTCCCTGGGAGGGTTGTTAGTGTATTAGGTAGTTGGGGGGAAAGGGAAGGGACTCACGCAATTTGGGGACAATTCAGGAGAGAAGTCCCGCTGAATGGGGTGCAGTTGTCGCCTGCGTTCGCGAAGTTTACGGCGGGGACGCCTCCGGGTCCGTTGATCTGGGTGACGAAGGAAATGATGAAGACCTGTGCAGTGTGAGTGGAATTTCCTGTGTGAGTGTGGTTATGAGCACGGCTAGAGGTATGTACGTTGATATCGCCATCTGTATCGAGGAGGTTAGTATAGATGTGGATATGATGTGGGGAGGGAATCTCACTATCGCAGTAATACGAGAGCCGGTGCTGGCTCAAGTCTCCACTAGACTGGCCGTACGAGTTCTGGCCTACAGACAGTTAGATCTTGCATGATAGGGGATTTTGTTGTGAACTTACCCCAGTAGACTACGAGGTTGTTCTTTGCGCCCAGGTTGAGCCCGGCGTGGACTCCCTGCAGCATAGACAAAATTGCACAGAGCACAACGATGAACCAAGCTGACATCATTTTAAGAGCTGTTAGAGTACGACTCAAGAAGTATGTCGAAGATAGGATATCCGGTTTAAAGAAAACTGAAAGAGTGAGCGAGATGGTGAGAGAAGCAGAAGAGCCATAGAGTCCTCGAAGCTCTTTATATACCCCATCATGAGGAACTCTAGGCCCCTGCAGAATGGTTCTTTTCAGAGAGTGACTGTAGAAATCAACGGAACGGCTGATACCACCTCATATCATCTGGGACAATCATCTGTGTACTGGGTGATAACTCTTGGTCTAAGATCAAGCTAAGCTAAAGCCAAATCCCGGAGTGAAGCCGATCACGATAAAGTGATATGCGAGCAATGATAGCCAGTTAGGGTTCTCTCCGAGGGGATTGAAAGGAATTCTTTAGAGTTCTTCAGCAAAGTTCACACATGATCCAAGGCACGTCCTGAAACTGGTCACAAACGCAGAGTAAAAGTATCTCATAGTTCTCACGCCTGTAAGACCAATCCTGTGGTGCGATAAACAGGGGTAAGGCATGGCGGATTAGGCGCAGTGTCACAAATGCTGCATGGTGTCAGCCGTATGATCTCATCATGTAGAGGCTTTTATCTCCACGTGGATTATGGTGGCTTGAAAATGGCTGAATTTTGTTATAATCCCCTAATAAATAGCTGATCTGAACCTAGGAAAATTCTCTATGATATAGCTATCGAATATTGGCCGGGCTGGACAGCATGACACGAGGTAACAAAGTTGTGAAATTAAACTGGAGACCAAAACATAAGAAGAACCCTGGACATGAGTCAGTTCGAGTGATGACAGTGATAGGTTGGAATGATTGTTCCACCGGTGACCGGAGGATATCAGTAACTTGAATTCAACTAACCCTAATTTCATGAACACCCGCAGTCACATCTCGATCTCCTTACTCTTGCTTTGACACAAAACTAACATTCACTATCAAGCTGGCCGGAACGTTGGAAAGCTCTGCAACGTCTTATCGTATATCAAATGACTATACAACCTGAGCGTGTTTTGATTCTCCACGGTTGGATAGCATCCTACTCAAGATGAATGCTACCCGGCCTGCCATATAACCCCTCAAACTTAGATAACAAACCTAGATAGAAAACCTAGAAAAGAGCAAACGCTAAATGCCATCTAGCTGCCATCCTCCTGAATATGCCAATATCGCTACTACCTCGTCAATTGTCCTCTGACGTGTCATCTCTTTAGCAAAGCCGGCGTACTCCAACACCGGCGCAACGAGATCTCCAGCTGACGTGGGAGTCAAGTCCGGAGGAATGGATCAACTCAAAGGAGTGGTAGGGCGTTTCATCCTGTCCTCACTGCATAAACTGTGGCCCCTTATTCAAGTTGCCAAGTCAGCGTACGAGAGAAGGATAGCATCGGCAGGGTATCGAAATCCGTTGGTAACTCAATACCACAGTCAACGTCCCCAGTTCCTACCGTCGCGCTAAACAGTGCACCATTTCCGGCAACCCGAACAGAAACGCCTCGTTGCTGACGGTGTCGCATACGAACTCCCCTCGACCGTTCCATCCATCAGACCGTATTTGATCCGATGGCCCGGTCGACCTGCAACTGGTTGGCGATTGGTGTTGCGGTGCCCACGGTTTTGAGACCCCAGAGCAGGGGACATCTCGCGCAGTCGACGCTGGAGGTAGAGCTGGATGAATACTGGGAGAAATATCAGGGTGTTGGACACCTGACGAGTTCCTAACTGTATTCTCATCCTACGGAAATCCAATTGGAATATTGATTAATAGAGAGGAGATACTTGTGGAGCATCAAGTCTCTACCACTCGCCAATTGGTGACTTGGGTTACATGGTCGAGGTAAAAGACATGCTAGCAATACTGGATTTGATATGTACCAGTCTTTGGTTGTATGGACAGGATCAATTAGATTTATTTATCTGGCCAATCGTTCTGTTAGTAGTTTACAAATCCCATGAATGTTGATATAAATATATAGATATAAATTTATATGGGAGAGAGAAACATATACTTGTCTGTCCACTTCAACAGCATGCCATAGAACGAATAAAGTTATGCTGCTATTGTGCAACTTGTGAAGTAGATTACATAATTGAAAACTGCATTAAGGACTCTATCACGGTCTAACCCGATTGGGAGCTCCCCGGACGATCTCCATCCGGATTGGGAAAAGCCTCACTTTCCTCACTTTCTCCTCTCGGTTTCTCCAGGTCATTTTATTTTTCCCTGAGACCATCCATGGTTCTCTCCCCGTCCGAACCAACTTCTCCCTGATATCTTCGGGAGTGGTCCTTGGAAGCTCGGACCCTGATGGAACCAGGATCACGGCCGGCATCAGGCAGATTGGAGGAGGGATTGACATGATTCCCATCCCCACATCCACTGCCCTGCCGTCGATCCACCCACCAGTTCATTCGTTCGTTTCTTCGTTGATAACTTCGTGGTCGGAATGTATTCGTTACTGCGGCAAAGACTGGTATGTCCCAATGGATTGTGTGGCGGCCATCGATCCAGCTGACCTGATCCTCTCCTCCCCCAGAAGCCCCCCATCCACGCCCGTCATCACATCGATCAATCTCACTCGGCGTTGTGGAGAGACGGGATAGCTCGAGTTTCCGCTCGAGCTATTTTGCTTTAGCTTCCTGGACTAATTTAGTCCCTGAGATCCATCACAGCGCCAAGGGAGAGCCAATAGCCTGATCCCGGTCATACCGCATCTCTCCGTCCTTTGATTTCCTTTATTATTTTTTCTTTGATTATCTTTCTTTCTTCGTCTCGTCTATTTCTATCCCCCCTTTGGTTCCTTTGTTTTGTCCCCTAGCGGGATTGAATGAATCGACGGTGGATGCTGGTCGGTGCTGTGACGACCTTTTAATAGCGGTCTGAAGTGCTCCTCTCCTTTCGTCATTCTTCGTTCTTCTTCCTCCACTTGGATTCCTTTCTTCCCCTCATCATCCACTCTTGTCCATTCTTCGACTGCCCACTATTTTTTGCGTTCTTTGTAGTGGGACCCTCCAATCCTTCACCTATCCCCTCGTCGCTTCTCATTCCGTCCCACTACCGTCATTGTTTTGATCGTTGTCGGCCGCCGACCGTCTCTTCCTCCCTCTCGATCGGACACGCTACACAAAGATTCCGCTACAGGAGGGGTGAAACACAAAAAACGTCTCCGTCCCTTTGCTCTCGCCTCCATTTTTTCCATTCTGCAGCCCTTCTCTTCACGCACGCCCTCTCCTACCACTGATGTTGAACGTCAACCGTGCGTCCTGAACATTCACCCCGTCAGCTGTGGTCTCAACCAATGCGACCGCACACCGTAGCGATCTCAGGACATACCGAAGCGGTTTGACGCGTCCGACATGTCATCCCACTCCGCCAGCATGAAGAGCAAGGCGGCCAACACCCATTCGTCCGCGCGTCTGGCTTCGGGCGGGAAAATCCCGCGAACTCCCAACAGACCACCGCAGCATCAGGCGACCTTGTCCCTCGGTACCGTGGTCGGTACCACCACCACCTCGCCGACCGGCTTTTCCAGCCACGACCAAAGTCGGTCCTTCGCGATCTGTGCGGGCTCTGCCGCTGTCCTGGCGGAGCTGGGTGCGGACAACACCGTGAGCCAGCGCTTCTTCCGCGCACGCCCTTCAGCGACCAGTGTCAACCCGGTCACCTCCTTCTACCACCAATCCACCCCACCAGGCACCCCCGATTCGCGCTCGCGTTCGGTATCGGGCATCAAATCTACCCCCCACGGCAATGGACTCAACGGTTCCCCTGCGTCGCATGAGTTGCCCGACGGCGGCAGTCCCCGCCCGTGGTCTTCCCGAGAGCGGGTCAAAGCGGTGACCAGCGTCTGCATCAGTCCCAACGGAAGGCTCCTGGCCGTCGGCGAGGTGAGTATCAAGCGGGCCAGGGAAACGGGCAGTCAATGCTGACAGGAATCTCTCAGACCGGCTATAACCCGAGGGTTATGATCTTCTCCACCGACAAAGATGCGGCCGGCGACATTCCGCTCTCGATTCTCCACGAACACACGTTCGGCGTCCGCAGTCTGGCATTCAGTTCCAACTCCCTGTATCTGGCCTCCCTCGGCGACGCCAACGACGGCTTCCTCTTCGTCTGGTCCGTCAATCTGAAAAATGGTTCCACCAAATTACATTCGACCAATAAATGCACGGCGCACGTGCGCGACATGCATTGGATGGGGCAAACCCTGATCACGTAAGTTGCTGTCCCAACATATGTACATGTATATATTTGCCGACGGCGCATTGCTCACCCACGGATAGTGTAGGCGTCCGTCATGTGAAGGTCTGGCGGCTGCCAGAGTCCAGACCTAGCTCACCCACCAAGTCACGACTGACGGTGGACGGCACCCCCAGCTCCCCGAGCGTTGCCCCTAAGGCTCTTGCAGGGCGGAACTGCGTCCTCGGTTCACTTGTGGATAGCACTTTCACGAGCGTGGTCAGCATCTCCGATCATGAAGCGGTGGTGGGCACGGAATCAGGGACCCTGTGCCTTCTCGATGACACCGAGGGATCCCAGAAACTCTCCGTGGTGCAGAACCTAGATTTCGGCGTGACCTCTCTGGCGGTGGACGTGGATGAATCCTGTCTCTGGGTCGGTGGTCGTGGAAATCGGATCCGGAGATTCTCCTTGGAGACATTACGGACGCCAGTCACCCCGTCTCGCCCCACGAGCTCCAGGTCATCCTCAGGGGGGAAGGCCATGGAACCGGCGATTGCGTGTCTGGGCTCTCTTTCTTCTCACGTCATTGCCATTGATAGCACCAAGGCGATCCATCTCTGTCCCACCGATGCACTGGACCAGAGTGACGAGTTAACTCACATGGAAAAGACGCTCCTCGGCCACACGGACAGCGTCCTCGGTGTCGGTCCCTTGAAGACACCCAACCCCACTGGTGCCGACTTCTTCACCTGGTCACGCGGGGGGATGGTGAAC